CTCCTCTGACCTGTCCCTCCAAAGACCCAACAGGAGCCTAAGGGTAGAATTACATTTATGCAAATTGAAGGCTGCTCACTGTTTAGCTCCCCTTCCCAGAATAAGCAGGTCACCTACCACTTGTATACAAAATATTGTCACGTGTTGAAGTTTATACCTTACTTCCTTGCACAAGACCAATAAAAACCTTGGTTAATGGAACCTTAGGATCTGTTGCCAGTAGAAGGCTACAGGTCCCCTGGTCCCCCAAGTCTCAGGTGCACAGTCCTGTCTGTCTCTGTTGTTGTCTTGCTCCACATTGCAGCGGATTAAGGAACACAGGCCGGTTGTGACAAGATCCAAGGTGCCTGTGAAGTACCAGGCCATAGATTCCCACAAGGACCACCAGGGAGCCGTCGCCAATGTAAAATGTACGAGAGTCGTTTATTACAGCTTGAGCAGGACTCACAAACCTTCCCTGACACAGCAGGTCAGAAATTGTGAACCCTGACCCTTCCTCTAGCAAGGTTTTTATAGGGTTTTTAGGGACTTCTATGTATCATTGCAACACTTAACAAATCATATCTCACCGTGGGAAAAATCATAAAATAATTCTAAAAGATGATTAGCATAACCAGTGGCGGGAACTGACCAGGTACTGGAGATTGGCTGGTTCATAGGGTTGATGGTCTTCGAAATGACTGGCTAAAGCAGATGGTCTGAGCCGCGACCAAGTGGTCTTTTAACTTGCAGGAACATCTGGAACTTTGGGTTTTTCCTGTTATCTGCTGATTAGCTGTAGTTAGTAGAATTTACGGTAGAGGGTTGTTTCTGGAATTTGGGCCCAAGGGGATCAAGGGGAGTTGCTGACACATTTCCTGGACAAAATGGAATCCAAACCTAAAATTGCTATATTTTGTTCAGGCTTCACACCTGGAACCCAGAATAAAGGATACATACAAGCCCAGTGCCCGTGATTCACACCTGTAATCCTAGCTACTCACGAGGCTGAGATCTGAAGATTATGATTCAAAGCCAGCCTGTCAGGCAAGTCCACAAAACTCATCTCCAATTAACCACCCAAAAGCTGGATGTATACTATGGCTTAGGTAGTATATCCTCAAGGTCCTGAGTTCAAGCCCTAAGAGAGATGGAAAGGAGAGATGAAAAACAGAGGCAAATATGCCAACATTTTAATCTTGTTTGTAGGAACTTACTGGGCATTTACAGACCCAAATGAAGAGTTGGTGCCTTTAACAAAAGCAATTTCTAAGTACCTGTTGTATTAGTTGAATGTTAGTTGTTAATTGTAAGGTATATTAAATAGGTAGGTTTTATTAGGTAGCTGATGAAGAGAACACCATGCGTTATTCAGGCAGAAAAAGAAGTTTATTTACCGAACTGCTGCCCCTACCGTGCATGGTGGAGAAGCATGGCTGAAAAGGAAAAGGGGCGACCCAGCCCTGGGCTAGGACTTATCTAGGACAGGGACAGGAAGAGGTGTGGCCAGGTAGGGAAAAGGTGTGGCCACACTGGATCCAGATATGACCTCAGGGTCTGGAACCCTCCTAAGGTCAGATGGGAGGCATGTGACCAGAGGTGGCCCAGGATGTGACCTAGCAGGAGGGGATGGTGACTGCTTCCAGGTGTGCCAGTTACCTAGGTAACAGATACTGGGTGGAAACTTAGCCAAGAGGTAGAGAGGTGTCCTGGTGCAGACCTTACAGTCTTACTAAGGTGTGAAGATTAGCCGGAGTGGGTGGCTCATGCCTGTAATCCTAGCTACTCAGGAGGCTGAGATCTGAGGATCACAGTTCAAAGCCAGCCCGGGAAGGAAAGTTGGCAAGACTCTTATTTCCAATAAACCACCAGAAAACCAGAAGAGGCACTGTGGCTCAAGTGGTAGAATGCTTTCCTTGAGCTGAAGAGCCAAGGGACAGCACCCAGGCCCAGAGTTCAAGCCCCACAACCGACAAAAAGAAAAGAAAAAAGAAAAGAAAGATGTGAAGATTACTGGATTCAGAATTTGTTAGTGTATTTTATTTATTATTGTTGAGTGCATTATATGAAACAATGTTCCTCTAGTCAAATTCTCTGTTTTTTTTTTAATACACTACTTAGTTTTTTGGCAATTCAGTTTTAATATTCTGTTTAGTCTTAGCAAATGGAAATGATTCCAGCCTGCCACAGGTGGTACTTTTGGACAAAGAAGACTTACAAAGGAGTCTTAACAGCTGGGTATGGTGGCTCACACCTGTAATCCCAGCTACCCAGGGGGCTGAGATCTGAGGATAGTGGGTTAAAGCCAGTCCAGGCAGCAAAGTCCTTGGAACTTATCTCCAGTTAACCATCAGAAAACCCAAAGTGGTAGAGCACTAATAGGCTTAAACAAAAGACCTCAAAGATTGCATCCAGGTCCTGAGTTAGGGCTCCATGACTGATGGGGAAAGCAGTCTTAGCTAGGCAAAGAGGAAGACCTTGGCATGCTCAATTTGCTGTGTTGGAAACACAAAGATAATTCAATGTATGTATATCAATAAGGATCAGCATTTTTTTTCTGGTGCTGGTTGGTTCTAGGGTTTGAACTCTGGGCCTGGGTGCCATCCCTGAGCTTTTTTGCTCAACACTGTTGTTCTGCCAATTGAGCCACACCCCCACTTTGGGCTTATTGGTGGTTAATTGGAGATAAGAGTCTCATGAACTCTTGTGCCTAGGCTGGCTTTAAACTGTGATCCTCAGATCTCAGCCTCCTGAGTAACTAAGATTATAGCATCCAGCCAAGCAGCATTTATAACATATATATATATATATATATATATATATATATATATATATATACACACACACAGACACACACACAGACACACACATGTATATATACATATAGATATAGATAGCCAAATGGAGCTAACGTGATCATCAAGTGAGGTTCTGTCTCATGGTGGGCTCACTCCTTGGTAAGGTGCACTCGTACTTTTTTTCCACCATTTGGAAGAGACATGGACGCACTTCTGAATGTAATAAGTCTCTTTGATCCTTCTATGCTGAGTAGACAGAATGGAGGTAATTCAGGGAATAGACAGGGAGAGCACAGGCCATGAGGATGTAACCTGGAATCCCGGCTGCCCTGGCTTAGAAGCATAGGCCTGGAGGAGAGGTACAGAGCCCTCAACTGCCGGAACTGTCAAGAGGCCAGCTGGGAAGGTTTGCCTCTCCCAGTAATGGCTGGGGGCCACAATCTGATCATTAGGCCTCTATATGCTACTTAAGAACCTTCAGGATATGAACACTAATGAATCCATTTTCTAATCCAAAGTAGCCTGTTCAGCTGAAGTGGGGTGAGTACTTGTTCCATTTTGCTGTCCATTTTTAACCAAAGGGACAGCCTCTCAACAACAGTTACTGTAACTGACTCGGCTTACATTCTCAACTGTCCCAGTCTCACTCAGGCTGTCTCTGACTTGTCCTTCTGGATTCATTCCAGGGTCTTATCCTAGAAATCCTGGGAGGCAGGCATTGGAAGGATGAAATCTTAAAGGGTCCAAATTTACCTACCGCTTAAAAACTCCATTCTCTCTTTTTTTGTTTCCAGACTTGAACTCAAACTTTGTACCTGATGCCTTCATTCATGAGCTAGCACTTACTGAGCTATGCCTCCAACCCCCTAGAAACTATTCTAGTTGCTTGGACTGTAAATATTTGGTGATCATCAACCCACTGTATTGTTGAGCGTGCGCGCGCGCGCGCGTGTGTGTGTGTGTGTCTAAAATTCAACAAATGCTTATTTTTCACCATTCAGAATAAACAACCACAGGCATGTTGTTATATTTGCTTTCAGGATTTTCTCCATCCCTTTAAAAAAAAAAAACAACAAAAAAGGAAGCATCAGAAATAAAGCAGAAACCCTTTAACCATTATCTCCAGGCTTGTTCCCATTACGCTTAACCCTTACAACTACTATTTTGTATTTTGAATACATTTACATGATTTTGAGTCTACTTGTATATATGAAACTATATGAGTGACTATATATATGGTTTTGTTTGCTGATTTGTATGGTTGTTTTGAGATAAGGGCACTATGTAGCCCCGGCCAGCCTCAAACTTACTTGGAATCCTCTTTCTTTGGCCTCCCAAGTGCTGAGATTAAAGGTATGTAACTATCACACTTGACCTTAGGTATGACCTAAAAATGTTTACACATAAAGATATATCTATCTTTTTGTACCACTTAGGTTTTTGAGAACTACCATCATCATCTGTTGATGAGTCACACTTTTTAATGTCTCTATATTCCAAAACATGATTAATGTTTTATTTAGTTCTTTCCTATTTGTTTTGCAGTAATGAAAGTTGTAAATTATCTATATTTAAGCCATGCCTCCAGTCCTTTTTATTTTTTTTAATATTCAGATGAAGTCAGTGCTAACTTTTCCTGAGTTGGCCTCAAACTTTGGTTGTTCTTTTTCTACCTCCAAGCTAATGGATTATAGTTTTTATAATCATATTATCAATATTACTAGTTTTATTGCTTTCTTAACCTATAAAGAATTAAACCAGGGCTGGGAAGGTGGCTCCGTGGTAGAGTGCTTTCCTTGCATACATGAGGCAATAGAATAATAGATTTAGAATATTCAATGCCTGTTCTCATTGAGCAGGTGGTGTGACAGGTTAGGAAAAACAGAAACGGACAAAAGAGACAGAATCTTTCCTGGAAGACTATTTCAAGTGGTCAGGACAGCTTTAGATGGGCTCAACAGTTAAGACTACTTAAAATGGAAAGCTATTCAGAACCTAGGGTTTCACTACAGATGTATCGATGTGATTGGGATGAAATGGGAGCTTCAAAGAAATGAACTGGACATGTTTATATCCAGGCTCACAACACTGGATCATGACTAGAAACTGTGATCAGAGAACCAATGAAGCTTCAGGGATAAGGAGCATTCACATTTTCACCTTAGTGAAGACTTTTACTGTTGTTGATGATGGTGGTCCTGCAGCTTGAACTCACTCATTAAGATGGGCCCCCCAGAAAGAAGCCTGTCCTTGAATCTCATTTTGGAAGAACTCACCCTGGAACGGGATCACTCACTTTCCCATAACTCAGGACTCAAGGGGCAGGTCCTAGATTTGTAGCGAATCAGAGGTGCTACACAGCTATCTAACCAGAAACACTTGCGGGAGGAGCACAGGGGAGTGTCAAACCTTTCTGGTACCACAGTGCTGAGAAGCTTCAAGTCTGTCTGCATCTACTCCTACTGCTGCTGGTGTGGATACTGCAAGTAGGAACTGTGGGAACAATCTGGAAGACCATAGGGGCCAGAAATGGTTGAGGGTGGGGTCTGGGTATCCCTACATATAAGGGGCTGCTGGAACTTTCCATTCAGTGGTTTAACCTGGGCCCCTCCTTGTCAACTCCTCAAGTGTTTGCAGCCCAATCAGCACTGAGGTCACTTGGCCTTTGATACCCGCTGGCCTGTGAGGTGGAGCTGGGAGCTGCAGGATCCTGGCATTTCTCTCTAGAGGTCATAGGGGCGTGGCTAGTGTGGGGAGAGCTGGACAGATATGGAGATTCTTAACTACTGGGTGTCATTATTAGTCTATGGGAAAAACTGTGGGGTGATCCCATTTTCCCACGTCAGGCTTGATTGCCTTTTTTTTAATGTTGAAGTTAAACTTGATTTTTATTTTTTGGTGCTAGTACTTGGTCTTGAACTCAACCAGTTAAGCCATAGCTCTACTTCTGGCTTTTGGTGGTTGGTGTAAAAGTCTCATAGACTTTCCTTCCCAGGCTGGCTTTAATCTATGATCCTCCAGAGTAGCTAGGATTATTAGCATGAGCCACCAGTGCCTGGCTTGGAGTTAAAATTGTACCAAAGAAAAACTTGGTTGTGGGGCCTGGGCACTGTCTTTGGGCTTCTATGTGCTCAAGACTAGTTCTCTACCCCGTGAACCACAGCAATACTTCTGGTTTTTGAGTAGTTAATTGGAGATAAGAGTCTCATGGGGGCTTTTCTTCCCCTGGCTGGCTTTGAAACAAGATCCTCAGATCTCAGCCTCCTGAGTAGCTAGGCACGAGCCACCAGCCCAGCAAGAGTAAGTTTTTAATCTTCATGCCAAGAGAAAACTACACAATTTGGAGCAAGGCACCCACTAACAGGTTCCTACCTTCCAAAATAGGTGATGGGGTGATAGATCACCTTCCTTGAGGGCAGTAGTTCAAAGAAACACTCCAACTCTCCTGTAGAAAAACATTCCCTGTGCCTTAAGCCTTTAAAAGAACATTTATACACATTTCAAAGGGATTAGACAAAGAATCTGTGACGGTTTTCTGAAGTTTCAGGTGAATAAAAGCACCTGTTTAACGTTTAATCAAACTAAGAACATTAAGGTGGCTTTGGTTAGGGAGCTTCTTTCTGGTCTAGGAGCCACAGCTCTTTCGTCAAAACACTTGCGTTTGTAATCTCCTGTCCCCTCCCTCCTCTCCTGTGTTCCTTCTGTTTCCCTTTCCCTTATCTTCTGCCCTTGTTATCTGTCACCTTTGTTTCTTTCTGCCCTGACAGAGCCAGCCCATTCTGCAAACTGGGAAAGACATTGGAGTCTGCAAGGTGGCAGAGAGCCCCTATGGTTCATCCAATCCAAGCCCGTTCTCCTTTCCTGGCCAGGATGACTGATGTGAGGGGTGAGGAGGAGGGGCAGGAAGAGAATTGAAAGTCAGGAGAGAGTCTGTGTCAGGGAGCCCAATACAGCTGCAGCTAGAAGTCTGCCAGCTTTTGTTTTTCTGTATCATGTTCTTGTGCCTTTTTTACTGCAGGAATATACATTTCTCCTTGGGCATTCAGAAGGTTCAAGAAAGGATGGTCTGGAACCAATTTACCCAAAGCTCAGAAATGTCCCAACATCGCTCCATTTACATCAATGACCCTATTAAGAACACTTTTTGTCACAACTCAATCAGGTAAGAAAAAAAAAACCAATAATACTTCAGAAGGGAAAAGGAAGGAAGACTGTTTTTTCCCAACAAACCAAGGGGTTTTAAAGCCTGCGCGCATGCGCACACACACACGCACCATCAAAGTGATCTTTTTTTCTATTTATTCTTTAGCTTCAACTCAGCTGTGTCCTATATTAATATGGAAAATTCTTCCTCTTTTCTCCCTTTCTTGTTTACTATCTCTACATGTTGGTGCACTTTCATTTAGTAGGTATTTTAATCAAAAATTACCTTTAAGTGTCGTACAAAGGGAGTTCAATTTCACATGTCATAGTTGAGTTCAGTGTACCTTGATACATGTGTAGTGCCTAGCTTCTGATCTATTTTTGTATAATTGTAACAGTGCATGTTTTCTGTGAATGTCTAGAGTTCAGAATATGATCTGACCATGGTGTTTTTCTTTGCCCTTACAGCACAACCAAGTACAGCATGTGGTCATTTCTGCCTCGATATTTGTACCTACAATTTGGCAAAACTGCCAATGCATTCTTCTTGTTCATTACTATACTGCAGGTAACATTTTTTGAATACCTTGTTAGACTCAAATTTTTAGTCTAAGAAAATGCTTGCAAAACCTCTTTGGGCTTTTGTGAGTTTTTTTTTAATTTATTTTTTGTGGTTAATTGGAGATAAGAATCCTACTGACTTGCCTAACCTGGCTGTTTTACAACCGCGATCCTCAGATCTCAGCCTCCAGAGTAGCTAGGATTATAGCTGTCCAGCTTAGAATTTTATTTATTTATTTATTTTCCCATTTTTCCTGGTTCTCTTTCCCAACTGTTCATCTAGGAGATACTGCCCAGACTTTGAGGTCATTGTGTGGACTGGACACCTAAAACTCTCACCTCCACTGAGCCCCTGGAGGAAGAAACAGCAGATCAGGGCTTGAAAGGGAAAATATTCCATAAATGCCCTCCCAACCTAAGGGTTTTACTAACACTCACACCTAAGTGGCCTGGTCCCACCTCTCCTCCCCTTGCAGGACCTTAGGTGTGGATCCCATCCTGGGTGCTTGAGTTCTGTGGGCATTAATGAGGGTGCAGGAGGCCTGGAAGATCAGGGTTTCAGGTGAGAGAGCCTGTGTTTTCCCCACGCAAAGCCCAGAAGCAGTGGAAGGAATTTGGGAGCAGTAGTGCTTCTGCAAACAAGACAAGGAGATTGACAGCAGGACAGCTTTGCAGGAGCATGAGTCTGAAGCTCCACTCTCTCAGCCCAAAGCCACACCCACTGTATTTTCCATTCCGGCTCCTTGGGCTGCCTTGAGAGAAATGGCTTCTTCCTAGGATGTATTGATTTCCTAAAGGCTGAGAGCGGCCTCTGCTGGGGAGCAGGAATGAGGTTTCCAGAGAACTTCGCCTAAAGTGTGAACCAAATCAGACTGCATAGGCCAGTTGTAGATGGAACAGTCTTCCAAAGTAGTTTGAATGATCATTACTTAACTCAAAGTCTTTTGATTTCCAACCATTTTACTCTCATTCACCCGTCTTCTCCATTCCTTCACTTCCCCAGTCCTCCATGGTGGGCCCCAATGTTGAACAGAAAGAAGAAAGACTGGATTTGAGGCCAAGAGAACAAACTGCCCAAACCAGCATTTGGAACACTCCTTCCTAGTTACCTATGATTCACAGGTCTCATCACATCAATACAATCTTTTTTGGAGGACAAATTATTGTCTGTCTACTTTTTAAAAGTGGAAAATTTGTTTTGAGTAAACTTTTCCTCCTCTGCTAAAACATAGTGAAATGTGAACATTGTTAACATTTGAAGTGAATTTTATCAGCTGTTAGGCCAACTCATGATTATAGACAAGTAGAAAGATAATCGAAAACTAGACGAAAAATAGTCCCTCTACCAGATTCTCATGTCAAACAACCACCAATGTCTTGTTGCACTGCCTTTCTGATTTTTAATGAACAGTAAGATGGTATTGTGCATACGTATTTGTGTGTAAGTTTTGAAGACTATTGTTTATTTTTATAGTGTGCATTTTGTTATCACAGACTCATTAACTTGAACACTCTCATTTGCAAGATAGGCAGCAGATCTCCCTGCCCCTCAATTGCCAAGCCGTGGAGCAACCTCCTCAGAGTTTCCTCTCCTAATCTCTACCCCCGCCCCGCTTCCATCCAGATGAAGCAGCCTAGGAGAGGTTGGAGTGTTAAGTTGGGCATCTCTTCACTTTCTCCAGTTCAGCTGTGTTTTCATAAAAATTTGAGATAGATAATACATTTAAGTACTAGAAGAAGAGAATGCACAGGATTTTTTTTTTTTTTGGTTGGTTGAGGGGCTTGAACTCTGGACCCGGGCGCTGTCCCTCAGCTCTTCAGCTTAAGGCTAGTGCTCTACCACTTGAGCCACAGCCCCACTTCCAGTTTTCTGGTGGTTTATTGGAGATAAGAGTCTCATGTAGCTAAGTGCCAGTTGCTCACACCTGTAATCCTAACTACTCAGGAGGCTGAGATCTGAGGATCACGGTTCAAAGCCAGCCCAGGCAGAAAACTCCGTGAGACTCTTATTTCCAATAAACCACTAGAAAACTGGAAGTGGTGCTGTGGCTCAAGTGGTAGAGCACTTGCCTTGAGCTGAAGAGCTGAGGGATATCGCCCATGCCCAGAGTTCAAGCCCATGACCGACAAAAAAAAAAGTCTCACAGACTTTCTTGCCCGGGCCAGCTTTGAACTGTGATCATCAGATCTCAGCCTCCTGAGTAGCTAGGATTACAGACATGAGTCATCAGTGCCTGGCTGTGCAGGATTTTTACAGGACACTGAAACTACATTTTTGGATTGAAAAAATGTTGATTTCAAAGAAACAAATTGATACATAATTCATCTTGATTGAAATCTTTAATGAAATGTTTCTGAAGTGACTTTGGTCATTTATGCCACCTTAGTCATATGATAATTTTATTATTATATTCTGGAGTGAATAACATAGTAGCTTAAAACAGTTAAATTAAAAGCTATCCATAATCTGGTTTATCCTTGTTTATTCAGCCATTTTTTCAGCATAAATCCCACAGACCATCCAGGAAAATAGCTTCACAATGCCCAGGTTTTCTTTTCTCCAGACCTTGGCATTTATGGTTAGTATAAACATAGAGAGCACTAATCTGTCCATATTCTCCTCTTTCTCTTAAAACATTCCAGCTTAAATTGTGTGCTGGTGGCTCACACCTGAGATCCCATTTACTCAGGAGGTTGAGATCTGAGGATTATGGTTCAAAGCCAATCTGGGCAACAAAGTCTGTGAGACTCTTATCTCCAATAAACCACCAGGCATTATGGCTCAAATGGTAGAACACTTGCTTTTGAGCTGAAGAGCTCAGGGACAGTGCCCAGGCCCAGAGTTTAAGCCCCACAACCCAACAAAAAGAACAACAGACAAACAAAATTTCAGCTAAAAACCATCCTTTAGCTAGATGCTAGTGGCTTATGCCTGTAATCTTAGCTACTCAGGAAGCTGAGATCGGAGTGTCACATTTCAAAATCAGCCTGGGCAGGAAAATCCCTGAAACATTTTTCCTCCAATTTACCACCAAAAAGCCTGAAGTGGATCTGTAGCCTAAGTGGTCAAGGACCAGCCTTAAGTGAAAAAGTAAGAGACAGCACCCAAGACCTGAGTTCAGGCCTTAGTATTGGCAATGAACAATAGTAAGCCAGGCACAGTGTGTGCCTGTAAAACCAGATACTTTGGAGGCAGAGGGTATTAGGATTGTGTTCTGAGGCTAGCCTGAACAAAAGCCAGAAAGCCTATCTGAAAAAGAACTAAAGCAAAAGGTCAAGAGGGTGACTCAAATATTGAACACTCATTAAGCAAGTGCAAGACTTTGATTTCAAACTGGAGTACTATAAAAAAGAGAGAAGGAAGGGAGGAAAGGAAAGGGAAGGGAAAGGAGTCCACCAGTTTGTTTACATCTTTATTTCTCATAACTTACATAATTGATGTTGAACATTTGATGTTTCATGATCCACAGTTTAATGTGTACCTAGGAAGCATCACTTTCCTGAGCTTCCTAGTTTTTTCTTTCTCTGCCTCAAGAAGAAATGAGGTTTGCTGGGCGCCAGTGGCTCACACCTGTAATCCCAGCTACTCAAAGGGCTGAAATCTGAGGACTGAGGTTCAAAATAAATCCAGGTAGATAAATCCATGAGAGTCTTTTCTCCAGTTAACTAGAAGTGGATTAGTGGTTCAAGTGGTAGAGTGCTAACCTTGAAGTTAAAAGCTAAGGAACAGTGTCCAGATCCTGACTTCAAGTCCTAGTACTGGCATATGTGCATTATGCACACGCGTGGATGTACACATATAAACACACATATACACAAAAGAAATGAGGTTCAGGTAAAGTGGCCATCTGAATGTAACTGTTTTCAGAAGATGTTAGTTTAAAAATATTCTTATGTTTGAACTATTTCCTTGTAAACATGGTGAGCAGTTTCACTGTCAACTTTGCCCAGTATGGTCATGAGTGTCACACTCAGGGGTGGTTTTTATATGCTATATCCCATCATTAGTTAATGTGTCCTTTGTCTTCATGTCCTTAGTCATTCCACTAGTAGCATGACTTTGTATGTGAACAAACTATAAAAAGATTTTATTATCTCACTATGAGTAATTCTAATTATTTTGCAGCAAATCCCAGATATATCTCCAACAGGAAAATATACAACTCTCTTGCCTTTGGCGATTATTCTTACAATTTCAGGCATCAAAGAAGTTATAGAAGATTATGTGAGTTTCCTGTTTTATAATGAAATGTTCTTAAGACTATTGCCTTTATTTAATCAAGGTTCACTTGCTATTTTTTTCTTTTTTCTTTTCTAGGCAGTTGGTTAGAACTGACATAATTCTTTTAAGTTTATAGCTAGTGTGATCAAATACTTTGAGATTTCAAATTAAAAATCATATACTATTTGTTATGTATCTGTATGTGTGTATGTGTATTTGTGTGTGTACCAATCCTGGGGCTTGAACTTAGGGCCTGGCCACTGTTCCTGAGGTTTTTTGCTTAGGGCTAGCACTCTACCACTTGAACTGCACTTCCATTTCTGACTTTTTGGTGGTTAATTGTACATCAGATTCTTATGGACTAGCTTTGAACAGTGATACTCATATATATGATTCTCATAGCCTCCTAAGTAGCTAAGATTATAGGCTTGATCCACTGGAACCTAGCTACACTTTGATTTATGTCTTTGAGAGACTACCAGAACTGTCTTTAGCTATTTTAAGAACTACTGCAGTATCACTGGAGACAATAGTAGATAATTGGAGGCATAAATTAGCCTAGGTGAAAGTCTTAAATGGCTAGAGGGTGGTACAAACACTTTGTATGATGTCTTTATCTATCCTTTAGTCTTTTGACAGGCACCAAGAGCTATTGACTATAGTTTTCTGCTTGCTATCACCATACCTGCTGTGGCTGGGACCCCTACGCAATCTCCTCATTCCTCATGATCCTAATTCTTCTTTGGCAGAATTGCTAGCTATTGTCCCTCTCTTGCCTTTACATGATTCCTATTATCTTGTGAAAAGATGTCCCAGAAAAATCTATGCAGTGTTAGCTTTTTTCATTAATTTATCATTGGTAACACTAGTTATAGAATTGTTCCAAATTTATCAGAAGCTTTAGGTTAGGCTGGTGTGTGTGTGTGTGTGTGTGTGTGTGTGTGTGTGTGTGTGTGTGTGTGTGTGTGTGATCCAGAATTGTTAATTATGTGTTTAACCAAATGTCACTATAAACAATATATAGTGTGCTAACATTTCGAGTAGTACTTACTTTGTGCAAGGTACATGTATTGTGTGTGTGTGTGTGTGTGTGTGTGTGAGAGAGAGAGAGAGAGAGAGAGAGGCTTTCTGCTCATCTGTGTTGAGACACAGATCAATCTGCCTCAGTGAGGGAGAGAGCTGGGATGTCAACCATGGAAGGCTGGCTCCAGGGTCCTGAGCAACAGTTTAGAAAGCATGATCTTTAAATATTCTATGCAGTGATGCAGAGATGACACCAAGGTCCATTAAAAACAACAACAACCAACCAACCAGTAAGTCCAGGTGCTGGTAGCTCATGCCTCTCATCCTAGCTACTTAGGAGGCTGAGATCTGAGTATCTCTGTTTACACTTAGCCACATTGCTATACTCCTTTCCATGGGTTACAGCTCAGCTTAGGGAGTCATAGGAAGGCACAAGGAAATTTTAATCAATTACAGCCAATTTACAATTAGACTGTTGGGGACTGGGAATGTGGCTTAGTGGTAGAGTGTTTGCCTTGCATGCATGAAGCAAGCCCTGAGTTTGGTTCCTCAGTACCACAGAAACAGAAAAAGCCACAAGTGGCGCTGTGGCTCAAGTGGTAACTCTACCACTAGCCTTGAACAAAAGAAGCTTAGGGACGGTGCCCAGGCCCTGAGTTCAAGCCCCTGGACTGGTAAAAACAAACAAACAAACAAAACAATTAGTCTGTCTGCTCTGTTCTTTCTTTCTTTCTTTTCTTTTTTTCTTTCTTTTCTTTTCTTTCTTTCTTTCTTTCTTTCTTTCTTTCTTTCTTTCTTTCTTTCTTTCTTTCTTTCTTTCTTTCTTTCTTTCTCTCTCTCTCTTTCCAAACAAAACAATTAAGCTGTCTGCTTCTGTTCTTTCTTTCTCTCTTTCTTTCTCTATTTCTTTCTTTCTTTCTTTCCAAACAAAACAATTAGGCTGTCTGCTTCTGTTCTTTCTTTCTCTCTTTCTTTCTCTATTTCTTTCTTTCTTTCTTTCCAAACAAAACAATTAGGCTGTCTGCTTCTGTTCTTTCTTTCTCTCTTTCTTTCTTTCTTTCTTTCTTTCTCTCTTTCCTTCCTTCCTTCCTTCTTTCCTTCCTTCCTTCCTTTCTTTCGTTCTTTCTTTCGTTTGTCAGTCCTGGGGCTCGAACTTTGGGCCTGGGTGCTGTCCCTCAGCTCTTCAGCTCAAGGCTAGTGCTCAACCACTTGAGCCACAGTACTACTTCTGGTTTTCTGGTGGTTTATTGGAGATAAGAGTCTCATGGACTTTCTTGCTCCTGCTGGCTTTGAATCGAGATCCTGAGATCTCAGCCCCTTGAGTAGCTAGGATTATAAGGCGTGGGCCATTGGTGCTGGCTCTTCTCTTTTTTCTTAAATGTACTATAATTTCTAATATGAACTGAATTATTCATTGTGAGCTTTTGATGTAATGAATTTCCCCCCATAATAGAAGCGACATAAGGCAGACAAATTAGTGAATTCCAAGACTACATTAGGTAAGTATGATGGTTTCTATTTCATGTTTCAACTTAACCTGGGCTACATTATGCTTAGGTTTTTGGTCAGACATTATTGTGGTTGTTTTTCTGCAAATATTTTAGGGTGAAATTGATCATTAGAGTTATCTTTAGATAGAGTAAATCATATACATTGACCTCCACATATGGGTTTCATTCTATCAGTCAAAATCCAGAATAGAACAAAAAAGGCTGACACCCCTAAGACAGAATTATTTCTTCCTAATGGCATTCAAATCAGGATGTCAGCTTTTATACTAGAACTGAAATATTGGTTCTTCCTGGTCTTAAATGTCCTGGCTATCAGATTGGAAATATATCATAGGCTCTCCAGCTTGCGAACTCAGCAGATCTTGGGACTTCGGACCCTTTGTAATTGTGTGAGCCACTTCTTTATAATAGATATCAGATCATCTGTCTGTCTGTCTGTCTGTCTGTCTGTCTGTCTATCTGTCTATCTACTGTTTATCATCTTTGTTTTGGTTTGAGACAGACTTGACTGGGTATCTGACACTTTTCTTCACTGACTGGTGCTTTACTGCCCAAGCCACGCCATCTCCAACCCCTATTTGTCTGTCTGTGTGTCTTCTCTCTCTCTCTCTCTCTCTCTCTCTCTCTCTCTCTCTCTCTCTCTCTCTCTCTCTCTCTCTCTCTCTATCATCTATCTTATCTACCATATGTCTTTATATTTGTATTACTATTTGACCTAACTAGATATAAAATATCCTTAGTTGGCTGAATCTGTGAATATGAAACTCATAAATATGGCGAGTTGACTGCATATGTAAATACATATATAACACATATGGATGTCTATATATGGTGGTGTTTTTCTGGAGAACACAGAAGAGAACAGGAAATAGACTTCTGAGCTGGTTTTAGGGTTACTGGAATTGACTCTGAAATCTGATGAAATTTAATAATATAGCCAGTGCAATGGCTCAAGCCTATAATTTTAGTTTCTTGGGAGGCAGAGCTGGGTCCTCACTGTTCCAGGCCACACCAAACATAAAGAAATTCAAGAAACTCCATCTCAATCAGTAGGTGGGTATATTACTGTCCACTTGTCCCAGATATGGGGAAAGTACAATGGCTGGAGACATTGGCACATACCTGTCCTACCCAGGGACTCAGGGAAGCACAAACAGGAGGATCACAACACTGGCCCAAGTATATAGTATCCATTACAGAGGTCTTTCACCTACTTGGTTAAATTTAGACCTAAGTATTTCATTTTTTGTATACCAACAATGAAAAGAAACACGTTTAATTTTTGGAAAAAGCATCTTGTAATTATTTTTTACTTTAATATGGTAATTACAATTAACATATAACCATTTATTTTCCAGTCTTAAGACAGAATTCATGGTGCACGATCAGGTGGAAAGAGGTAAGAATGTATTTTAACTGAATAATCATCTACCTGGTACTTAAAGCCACAAATTGTTACCTGTGAAACACATTTTTAAGAATCACAATACTGTCTCTATTTTATAGATGAGGAAAGGGAATATGAGTATCTCACTCTAAGTTACATAGCTAGTATCTGGTGAAAATGGGATTTGAACTCAAGTCTGTCTGGTTAGAGGTCACATTAAATATTTTTTTGCTAGTTCTGGGGCTTGAACCCAGAGCCTGGGCAACCCAGAGCCTTGAGCTGTTTTTGCTCAAGAATAGTGTTCTACCACTTGAGCTATACCCCCACTTCAGACTGTTTTTTTTATTGGAGAAAGAATCTCATGGACTTTTTCTGTCCCCACTGGCTTCAAACCATGATCCTCAAATCTCAGCCTCCTGACTAGCTAGGATTAGAGGCATGAGCTGCTAGCACCCAGCCTTACATGTTGTTGTATTTTTCCTTTAATTTACCTTGGTGACATCTTTGCATCGCTACATATACTATTTAGAGATCATGCTTTCTATACTGTTGTTCAGGACACAAGTCAGCTTTTCCATGGTAATATCTCAGAGAATTTTGTTACCATTATTTCTCTTTGGAAAATATCTTAGTTCTTTTAGGCTGCTGTATTGGATTTCCTTAGACTGGGTGAGTTATAGACCACAGAAATTTATTTCTCATAATTCTAGAGGTTGGAAAGTCCAAAGTCAAGGTACTGGTAATATCTGGGGAGGACCTGGTTCCCCACAGGTGATGACTTACAGCCATGTCCCCACATGGCGAAAGCAGCAAGGTAGCTACTTTATAAGGATACTAATTCCATTTGTGAGAGATCTACCATCCTGGCCTACTCACCACTTCCTAAAGGCCTCACTTCCTACTGCTAGTACTTTGGAAGTTAAATTTCAGCATAGTATATTTGTGGAGAATAGCAAAAAGACAAACATTCACATCCTAGTAGAATAAAACTGAGCTGAATGTTTTGAGGGTCTAGGTTCTGACTTTGTCCTCATCAATAATTAATTGATGCATGTGAAGGTCTTTCGATAGCCCACTCAGGATGATTTTTTTAAATTTTATTTCTCAATATCATCAATATTGCTTTCCCTCATATCAAGTGGTTGAGCCAAGTGGCTCTCTTTTGCTCCTCTTTTTAATTTTTTAATTAATTGATTAATTAAGTCATTGATTGGGCTGGTATTGAGGCTTAAACTCAGGATCTCATGTTCTCACTTGGCTTTTAACTCAAGACTGGCATTCTACCATTTGAGCCATACCACTACTTCTGGATTTTTGCTGGTTAACTGAAGATAAGAGTCTTATAGAGTGGTTGTTGTTGTTTGTTTGTTTGTTTGTTTGCTCATGGTAGGTTTGAACCTTAAGCCTCAAAGTTGTTGAGTAGCTAGTATAAAAAGGCATGAGCCCCCAGCGCCTGTACTTTGCTCCTCTTTTTGGAACTCAAACAAGTAAACTATTGAGAGATAACTCTTCATTTTGAGCATCGGAATCCAGGGGAGCTAGATCAGTGAGTGGTAGTCTGATTTCTGTGAATGGGAAACCAGGGGAGGAGAGAAGAAGTGAGTCTGTAGTGGTGATTCTCACTCAGGAGATGATTGATAAGGTTTATGTGCCAAAAGATTGGTTCCCAGAGTGCTGAGGTGGAATATGGGACCTAGTAGAAAATGGTTCAGTCATTAATATAGTACTTATCAGGGATTAATGATGTTCCTATAAGACCCTGTGAAAGTTGTTACAAAGGAGTCAGCTTGAAGTTCTCCAGCTTCTGATCTCACCAGATGGTCTCTTCAACACATATTTGTATCATCTTCCATCTTCTGAGACCACCAAGAGGACCCTCACCAGAGCTCAGGAGATGCTGGTGCCATGTTCTCAAACCTCCAGAACAAACCTCTTAAACGCAGGGCCTAGGCACTGTCTCTGAGCGTTTTTGCTTAAGACTAGAACTCTACCACTTGAGCCACAGCTGTACTTCTGGTTTTCTGGTAGCTAATTGTAGGTAGTTAATAAGAGTCTCATGGACTTTCCTGCCCAGGCTGGCTTCGAACCTTGATCTTCAGATCTCAGCTCTTGAGTAGCTAGGATTACAGGCTTGGGTATCTTCTTATAGCAGCAGAAAATGAACTAAGACAGTGGCTTGAGAACTCAGTTATAATTTATCCTAATCCTTTGCTCTGGTGGAAGAAGTCAAGCAGCCACAGATACAAAACAAGAATTCTTGTTCTGACACCTTTCTTTTTTGTTTTCTTTTTTCTTTTGTCGGTTGTGGGGCTTGAACTCTGGGCCTGAATGTTATCCTTGAGCTCTTCAGCTCAAGATGAGTACTCTACCACTTGAGTCACAGCACTACTTTCTGTTTTCTGGTGGTTAATTGGAAATAAGAGTCACATGGACTTTCCTGCCTGGGCTGGCTTTGAACCACAAACCTCAGATCTCAACCTCCTGAGTAGGTAGGATTACAGGCGTGAGCCATCGGCGCCTGGCTCTGACTTCTTTCTATACCACCTGCACAGTACCATCCAATAGAATGCTAAGGCAAGAAACATCACCAAGGACAGATAGGTTGATTTGGGAATGCCATGGACAAAAGGAAAAAAAAAGGTCGTTTGTAAGACTTGATGGCACTGGCTTTTGGCAGACCTGTGTCAGATCCACAGATGTGTAACTTTGTGCATCAGCATTGGTTCTCTGGGCCTTGTGCAGGCTAGCCAAGCATTCTGTCAATGAGGCACACACCTCCCAGCCTCAAATTCTAATTGTAACCCACGCTATTATTGTACTACTGCTATTTGGGGCCACATCATTCTTTGTTGTGGGACTTTCTTGTGCATTGTGTTTTATTTCACTGGATTCCATTTTTTGGCATCTACCCACCAGATGCCAGTACCTTTAGCTCACCCATTACCATAGGTGTGAATTGGGAAAACAAATTCACCCCTGATTTAGAACAACTGTTTAAGAATCACCATGCCTGGCTCTAAAACAGCCATCTCCGTTATACAGGACGGGGAGGATGACAATTCAAAGCAAAAAGTTAGGGAGACCCTGTCCCAGGCAATAGCTGGGCATGATGGTTTGCCTGTTATCCTAGCTACTCAGGAAGGGAAATAAAGGTCCAGGTAGCCCAGACATGAATGTATGACCCTATCCCAAAAATGCCTAAAGCACACAAGGGCTAGGAGCATGGCTCAAGTGATACGCTGCCTGCTGAAAGCAAGGCCTTGAGTTCAGACCCCAGTACCTCCAAACCAAAACAAAACCATTGCCCTCCCCTCAAAAAATCAACCACCCAAGAACTCCTCTCCCGTTTTCAAGGAATAGATTCATCAAGGAATAAAATTGTTCAAATACAGCTGAAATTTATTAGAATGACTAAAGGAACTCCGTACTATACTCACCTTTATGTACTTTTCTTGAGAACATTTGGCATGTTTTGCTTCCATTTGTGCTCTTATCATTCACACTTTGCTCTTCTCTTTCCTGGTTTAAAAGGTCCACGTGGGTGACATTGTGAAGACTTGCAGTGGCGAGTTCCTTCCCGCAGATATGGTCCTGGTTTCCTCCAGGTTAGTTCTGTTCATAGACATTTAAGGAACTGCTATTCTGAATTGGAAATGTTAAGAAAACCAGGGGCAGAAGATATATTTCCCCCTAGCTCATTCTTTTGACCTTAATAGAGATCAGAGACTACTTTTTTCCCCTCTGGAAGGGGGTAGATAACAAATGGATCAACTTTGTGAGCCAGACAGTGTCTTGGAACTATTCAAGTCCATCTTTGTAACGTAGAAAGCAGCCATAGGCACTACTCAAATAAATGGATATGACTGTATTCCATAAAACTTAATGAAAGCAATTGGGGGCCACATGTAGCCTGTGGGGCAAATTTTGATGACCTATGATTCATACTTTTACTACCCTTACTGTAATTTCCCCAAACATATTTTCTTCTATTCTGATTCTCAGAGTAATTCCATCCTTGTGTAATTAATACAGACATTGAACCAAACAAAATAGACTTATGGCAATTTGGAGGTATTTCCATTCTGAAAGCATAGTGACAAGCTCAGAAATTAAACGATTTGCTCTGTCGCACTAAGTGAGCTGTGTTAAGACTAAATTTAAAAACATAGCCTCTATTCTTTATGTGAAACTATATTGCCTTAACACCTTCCTGATACAGAACTTTTTTGTGTGCCAGTACTGGAGCTGGAACTCAATGCTTTGTGCTCTCATTTGGCTTTTTCAACTCAAAGCAAGCACTCTACTACTTGATTCACAGGTCCACTTTAGCTTTTTGGTAGTTAACTGGATATAAGAGTCTCATAGACTTTCCTGCTCCTGCTGACTTTGAACCATGGCCCTCAAATTTCAGCCTCCTGAGTAGCTAGGACAAAAAGTATAAGCCATCAGTGCCTAACTTCTGAGAGAGAACTTTATACAATACTCCCTATTGATGTTATGTTTTTTCCATTAAGTCCTATTTTATCACCTCCATTTTCCTCCTGTGTTGTATTCTTCAAGGAATCTTCCCTTTTTCCCCTTCTATGGTAAGAACACCAGGCAGAATAGAGTGTTGGTGGGTAACCATACTGATAACACAGCAGCATTTGATATGTTGATAAGCTGAGTCCCCAGGTCAAGTCTCAGCCATTTCAAGAGATCCAAAAATGTTTCCATCTTCCTAAATATACATTGTCGTAGAGCATGGAATTCTCTAGGAAAGAGATCAATTCATTCTGGAGATATTCTCTAAGCTTCTGGAAAAAATAATATACAAGCTCTTATTTCTGACAAATACGCTTTGTTTTATGCTATCAATGAGCCCAGTGGACAAAGAATTTAACTGTCATTGCTATCTATTTCTCTCTTGGATTTGTCTCAGAGTGTTGTGTGATCTAGGAGGCTGGGTTTATTTCTATAACCTGTATGTCATTTTAACATGTGATTTTATTTCCTTTAAAGGTGCTCATTGTATGAGAACTAATCTTTAGTAGGGGGAGAGATTCAGGGGAAAGTAAAGTGAAGACAAAAATTATTTATTCGTGGGCTTTAATTTCCTTATAGTTTTATAGGATTGTATTTTAAGTGATTCTCCATGTTCTTATTTTTTTAAGACATGTGTGCACTTCTCTAAATGTTAGTTGAGCTGGCTTACAAGTAAGAAAACATCCTGGACACAATGATTTATGTCTGTAATCTTAGCTGCTCAGGAGGCAGAGATTGGGAGGACCACTGTTTGAAGCCAGGCCAGAAAAAAATTAGTGAGAATCTATCTGAGCCAATAAAAGCTGGGTGTAGTGGTGTGCACTTGTCATATCCCCATGACACAAGAAGTATAATCAGGGTCTGTGATAGCCTGGACCTTATTTGAAAAACCAAACCAAAAGCAATGAGGGTGTGGCTACAGTGGTAGAGTGCAAGTACAAGGTTCTGAGTTGAAACTCCAGAACCATATACACACTCAAAAAAAAAGAAAGAAAAGAAAAACAGAGAGCCCAGAGTTAACTGAAGTCCTAGAGGGCAATCTGGGACCAATACTGAATTTTTCTCTGAGGGTGTGTGTGTGTGTGTGTGTGTGTGTGTGTGTGTGTGTGTGTGTGTGTGTGTGTGTGTGTGTGTGTGTGTGTGTGTGTGTGTAAGCTGCTCCTGGGCCTTGAATCAGGGCCTGGGTGCTATTCCTGAGCCTTTTAGCTCAAGGCTACCACTCTACCACTTGAGTCACAGCTCCACTTCTGACTTGTTTTGGTGAATAATTAGACTTTTCTACAGCATTGTCTTTGAAACTGCAATCCTCAGATCTCAGGCTCCTGAATAGCTAGGATTACAGGCATGAGCCATTGGCACCCAGTTAAGTTTTATGAATTAGGCATATTAGGCATTTAACAACTATAACTAATGATAAAATTACAATTAAACTAGTAACATTTGTAACAGCATATACAAGTTATGTGAATGTGGTTTCTCACTCAAAATGTCTTATTTACCCTTCTTCTGTGATTATATGCTATTATGTAATGCCCTCATTACATAATATGTAATAAAGTGAGGTAACTGATGGGCATTATGATATAGTGTTAGGCTTCTACGTGAGGGTTACTTGAATACAGATATCCCAATACTGTGACACTTGATCTTATAACCTAGACAACTTAGTGGCACTGTGACTCAAGTGATAGAGTGCTAGCCTTGAGCTGAAGAGCTGAGTGACAGTGCCCAGGCCCAGAGTTCAAGCCCCATGACTGACAAAAACAAAACAAAACTAGACAACTGCTAAATGACTAAAGATTAAGTAGTATTTACAGCCTATGCATCCTGAACAAAGGGATAACTCACACCAGCAGGATGATGTGTTGATTTCATCATGTAATGGTACATAATTGAAAACTTGTGAATTACTTATTTCTGGAATTTTCCAATTAATGTACATTGAACTGTGGTGAATTATGAGTAACTGAAACCACAGCGAGAAAAATCACAGATAAGGATTGGGTTAGTAAATTACAAGAAACGATATTCTCTTAAACATGATAGTTCAGCTAATGAACAAATGAACTCTTCAGTCAATAGTTTGTGTTCAGTATGTGACATGGAATGAAATCTGACTAGGCAAATGTTGCTATTTCAGCGCCTTCCTTTCCTAAATGTTTGGGTTAGATGGGAAAAGAGACATCTTAAATGTAGCTTTTATTTGGAGCTCCTAGACTGTATACACTTGCATGGGAAGATATAAATATATCCTCAAGTCCTAGAGCCTGGGTCTTTGCTATTACAATGGACCCACTTTAGAAGGTAACAGAACTGTGGAACATTTTGTCCTTCGCAGCTTTTCTGTCTGAGCTTAAAGCTGATCAGGACTGTAAAGTGAGACTTTTCATACCAAGCCATTCTACAAGAGGAATTCTAGGCTGGTGGCCTCATATTGCTAATACATTCTGCAAAAGTAGTACTTTTCAGTTCTTTCAAATCTGAGGAATCGTTATTGATATAGGTTACATGTCATGCTTTGCATTACTCAGAAAATAATTTGAGCTAAGCACTGGTGTCTCACATCTATAATGCTAGCTACTCAGGAGGCTGAGATCTGAGGAACTTGGTTCAAAGCCAGCCTGGGCAGACAAGTCTGAGAGATTCTTATATCTAATTAACTAGCAATAAGTTAGAAATGCAGATGTTTCTTAAGCAGTAGAATGCCAGCCACAAACAGAAAAAACTAAGGAAGAGTGTGAGTTCGAGCCCCAATACAGGTGCTAGGATGCATACATGCACACATACACACAAATAATTTGATGAAGAGTTATTAATATTATTTGCTCTATTTTTGTCAGTGAACCTCATTCGATGTGTTATATTGCAACAGCAAATCTGGATGGAGAGACAAATCTAAAAATACGGCAGGTAAAGACACCTTTTCCCATCCTAATTTCATACCTGAACCTCTGTCAGGTTTTGTCAGGTACCGGTTGATTTTCCACAATGGATGTAATTTATCTACATCAAATGATACTGTATTACCACCACCACCACCACCACCACTACTACTACTACTACTACTACTACTACTACTACTACTGGGAAGAACTAGGTTAATCCTTTTAATTGCTAGAAAAAAATATATGCCATAGAACTTAGGTGGTAAAGGATCTCACACCTTTATAAAGATTGTTTTGAATCTCTTTCTATTAATGCTTTGGTGATAAAGCCACAGTAATGGCTAAATATTTTAAGTAGACGGAGAAGAGTGTCTAAGGAGTACTGGGTGACTTTATATATCACTCCTTTTAAATTTACCACTTGAATTTTAGAGAAAGTTATGATTAAGAATGCAGAGACGAGCTGGGAGCCAGTGCTCATGCCTGTAATCTTGGCTACTCAGGAGACTGAGGTCTGAGGATCTGAGATCGAAGCCAGCCCAGGCAGTAAAGTCAGTGTGACTCTTATCTCCAATTAACTACCAAAAAAAAAAAAAACCCACCCAAAACAGAAGTGGAGCTGTGGCTTGTTGGTAGAATGCTTGCATGAAGCCCTGAGTTCAATTCCTTGGTATCACATAAACAAAAAAATAAAATTGATAAAAATTAAACTATTGAGCTGGGAAGTTGACTCAGGGGTAGAGTGCTTGCCTTGCATGCATAAGGCTCTGGGTTTTATTCCACCGTACTACATAAGCAGAAAAAAGCCGGAAGTGGCACTTTGGTTCAAGTGGTAGGGCGCTAGCCTTGAGCTGAAGAGCTGAGGGACAGTACCCAAGCCTAGAGTTCAGCCCCCACGACCAACAACAACAACAAAAAATTAAACTATTATTAAACAAATTATAAAGCTGTGTTCTACACATACAGAGTTGTCTTACCAATTGAAAAATCATTCTGTATGAGTACCTAACCGATTTAAGAAGAAAAATCATGTGTTCTTATCAATCAGCACAAAGCATTTGACCAACTTCAATATGCATTCATTATAAAACCTCGTAGAAAGAGTGGGACAGAAAGGAAGAGCCACCTTGGTATAGAGCATTACCTTAACCAGTTGTTCATCATTATCACAATACATCTAAGATAATCAAATCACAAAAGAGAAGAAATGTATTTCAGTTCACAATTTTGAGGATTCCAGTACATGATCAGTTAGTCCCATGATTTTAGGCCAGTGGTATGGCAGTTTTTATGCAAAATTAAGTATGTACCCATTATTGGACTCATAATTGCACCCCTATAGATTTACCCCATTGAAATGAAAATGTATGTGCACAACAAGCCTTATCCAAATGTTTATCTCAGAGCCATATATTCTCTTGTGGGTGAATGGTATAATCAACTGGCAAGGTCTTTTTATATACTGATCTTATATCCAACCACTTTACTAAGCTCTCATACATTATTTAAGTCAAATGTATAGGATTTTTCAGGTAGTCAGTTCTTTTCCAAAAAGTCTCAAAAATAATTTTTTTTGTGTGTGTACCATCATGGAGCCTTGAACTCAGGGCATGGGCACTGTCCTTGAGCTTTTATTTTGCTCAGGGCTCACACTTGCAAGAGCTCTACTTCTGGCTTTTTTTCTTTTTGGAAATAAGAGTCTTACAAACTTTCCTGCCTGGGCTGTCTTTGAACCAGGATACTCAGAGCTTAGTTTCCTGATAGCTGGCATTACAGACATGGACTACTAGTGCCCAGCAAAAGATTTAAAAAGAAAAACCAGCTTCAAGTATTTATTACAGAGCCTCAAAGTGGAAAAACATGTTAGAAAAAGATTTGAGGTTCTAAATCTTTATGCCTATTTAGGACCCAATTTATTGTTCCTGCTTGTTCTTAAATATAGGTCTTTTCTGACACTTTTCTAAGAGTAGTATCTCATTTCTTTATTTCCATTTCATGGTACTGTGTAGAAACTTGAGAGCAATTGAAAACAAATATTTAGAAGCAGTTACTTCTTGACATGTTTTTCGCATTGTTTAAGTCAAGCATAATATTTGCTTTCAGATTTTGGTAGATATCTTTGATCATATTTGGGAAGTTTCTTTATATTTGAAGTTTGGTAATTTTTTCTACAATGCTTGTCAACGTTTTGCTCTTTTCTTCAGCATCTACCAAAGGGCTAAGGCCATTACTTTTTTTGTTTTATTTTTATTTTTATTTTTTTATTGTGAAAATACCGTACAGAGGGGTTACAATTACATGGAAAACATAATGAGTACATTTCTTATAAGCATTGTAGCCTCCTCATTTGTTTCCCTTCCCATCCCTTCCCATCCTTCCCCCATCCCCCAACTCTATATGCTTCCCCCTTCCCCCACCCCCCCCTCCCCCGCCCCTGCACCAAAGTTGTAAAGTTCGTTTTCAATGTAACTGGTACATCTCATTGTTGCAATGGGTCCACCTGTATCCCTATTTAAACGATTTGTTTTTTCCCTTCCCCTCCACAAATTATAACAACATCAAATACAGTGAGAGCAGGGGTTATACCGTGGGGGAGGGACATACAAAGCAACAAAGAAATCATCTTATAAATGTGTTAGAAACAATCGCATGAAAGAAAAAACATTTGAATATATATCTTAGGGTTCATTTCCCTAACATCAACTTATCTGACCTTTTCTTCTTGACTCAGACATATACTAGTTGTTGCAAATAAGGGAAACTATGGGACCTATGTTTCCTTGGGCCTGGCTTACTTCACTTAATATAATTTTTTCCAAGTCTTTCCATTTCCTAACAAATGTAGCAATGTCATTCTTTCTGATGGAGGCATAGAATCCCATTGTGTATATATACCACATTTTCTTGATCCATTCATCTACTGAAGGGCATCTGGGTTGGTTCCATATCTTAGCTATGGTAAATAAGGCTGTAATAAACATAGTTGTGCTGGTAGCTTTAGTGTGGTCTTGTTTGTGAACATTTGGGTAAATGCCCAAAGTGGGATTGGTGGGTCATAGGGGAGCTCTATGTGGAGTCTTTTGAGGAACCTCCATACTGCTTTCCAAAGTGGTTGAACAAGTTTACACTCCCACCAACAATGCAGTAAGGTTCCCTTCTGTCCAAATCCCCTCCAGCATCTGTTGTTATTAGAGTTCTTGATTCTAGCCATTCTAACTGGGGTAAGGTGGTATCTCAATGTTGTTTTGATTTGCATTTCTTTGAAGCTAATCAAAGAGTAATACAGGAATTGAGAGAGCAGGATGAGAACACACAAAGATCACTAAAGGCATTCATGAAATCCATAAACTGAGAGCTGAAAGAAGTCAAGGAGACCACAAAGGGAATGCTGAATGGAACCCACTAGAAAGAATGGGAGTCCAAGGAAACCATAACCAATCAACTAAGTGATTTGAGAATAAACACTGAACACCAAATTAAGGAAGTAAAGAAGTTCATACAAGATCTAAAACAAAGCTCCAACAAAGAATTTGAAGCCATCAAAGCCAACCAACTAGAAGGAAAAGAAATAAAAAACAAAGTAGAAAGTCTTGATAGTAGGTTAGACCATGCAGAAGATCGAATCTCAGAGATTGAAGACAGTCTAGATATTATAGAGAAAGAACATACAACTATCCAAGACAAATCCAAGAAATATGATAGATCTATTCAACACTTGGAAGACTCCATCAGAAGGCCTAATCTGAGGATAATGGGTGTAGAGGAGCACCTAGAGACAGAAGTTAATGGTCTAGGAAATTTGTTTAACAGGATCCTAGCAGAGAACTTCCCAAACATGCAAAAAGATAGGCCTATTCAGATAATTTTTAAAATTAGCTTTCATGAGAATTTTTTTTGAGTTTTCTGGCAATACATTTTCTTCTGGGAAATGTTTGTGAAGAAAGTTTCTTCATTGTTTTCTATTAGAATGTTTGTATTTTTCTCATTGACTTCTAGAATTACCCTGTAATTTATTCTTTTTTTTTTTTTTTTGCCGGACCTGGGTCTTGGGGCTTGAACTCAGGGACTAGGCTCTGTCTCTGAGCCTCCCAGTGCTCAAGGCTAATGTTCTACCACTTGAGCCACAATGCCACTTCCAGCTTTTTCTGAGTAGTTTATTGGGCATAAGAGTCTCACAGATTTTCTTGTTCGGGCTGGCTTTTAATCACAATCCTAAGATTTTAGCCTTCTGAGTAGCTAAGATCATAGGCATGAGTTACCAGCACCTGGCTCTTTTCTTTCTTTCTTTTGGTGCTGGTAATAGGACTTGAATTCAGGGCCTGAGAACTATCTCAGAACTGCCTTACCAATTAAACCTTATCTGGTTTTTTGCTGGTTAACTGGAGATAAGAGTCTCATGGATTTTCCTGCCTAGATTGGCTTTGAACTGTGATCTTCTGATTTCACTCTCCTATATAGCTAAGATTCCAAGCTACTCTGTTTTGTTTTGTTTTGTTTCCTCATTTTTGTTTTTTGGGCTTTAAGATATCTTCTGATGAATGGAAATTCATTTCTTTGTGGATTTAGAAGTATCAAAATTTCTGAGATCTTATATATATATATATATATATATATATATGTATTTGGACATATTTGGATTAAAATTTTACATCTGTTTGACATTTGCAAAGATGTAATATTCTACAGATAAAGGTCTTTTCTTTCCAATACTATAATATTTCCTGTATCTTGTATTTCTACTCAAAAAGACTGATAAGAATATGCTTCTTGTTGTCTTGAAAGTGCTTTGCATCTTTCCTCTGGAAAGTTAAGCCTACTAATTATGGTGAAGTACTCTCAGGGCCATTGATTTTCAAAGTTGGATCTCTGGACCTTAACATCATCATTATCATCATTGTCCTATAGCAACTTTTAGGAATGCAGATCCAGTGAATCCTAAACAAACTCTGGGAAATGGATCACAACAATTTGTATTTCCTCTGGAATTCTAAAAGGAACTTAATGTATCAAAGTTTGGAAGCAGTGCTCTAGAGCCTTGCTATTCCAAAGGGAACCCAAGGTTTAATGTCAGCCCCTATGTGCATAACCATTTCAAACAGTGATTATTGTGGTTACACTTTCGAAAATGATTTTTCTTTTGTGCCATACTGGGACTTTAACTCAGGGCCTAGGCAATGTCTCTGAGCTTCTTTGGCTCAGGGCTAGAACTCTACCAATTGAGCTACCACTTCATTTCTGATTTTTGTGGTGTTTAACTGGAGAAAAAAGGCTCACAGCTTTTCCTGCCTGGGCTGGCTTTTAACTGCAATCATCAGATCTCAGCTACTTGAGAAACTAGGATTATATGTGAGCCACCGGTGCTTGGCTAAAAATAATCTTTTTAGTAGACAAGATGAAAATATTTTCACCTCTTATCTCCAATTAATCAACAGAAAGCTGGAAGTGAAGCTGTAACTCAAGTGATAGAGCCTCAATCTTAAAAACAAAAAGACTAAAGGCTAGTACCTGGCACTGAGTTCAAGATCTAGTTATAGGCACATAAAGACATTGGCAAAATGATTATTTGACATCTCATAGCACAGTTTATGTTAAAATGTAATGTAAATTATGTTAGTATCTAGTAACTATAATACTAAGTACTAATATTTTAATTACTAACTCTTAATATCATCTTTTGTTAATGCCTAGAGATATGGAACTTTGCCTTAGTACCTTACAATTGTATTTTCTTTTCCTCTCTTTTGGCTTTTATTTCATAGGCTTTGCCAGAAACAGCTGCAATGCAAACAGAAAACCAATTATTAAATCTACATGGAAAAATTGAATGTGAAGGACCTAACCGCCATTTCAGTAGCTTTGTTGGAAACTTGCGTTTAAATGATAGAAGGTATGATCTTTTTCCTTAACTTTTTCTCTCTTATGGAGCATAATACATGGAAATCTTTGCCCTGTGAATGAATCACTTGTTAATATTTTACTTGCCATTGAAATATCCTGATGCACCTATATAATTGTTCTTTAAAAAAAAATCAGGAGCCAGTGGCTTATGCTTGAATTCTAGTTACTCAGGAAGCTGTGATCTAAGGATCTTTGTTTGAAGCCAGCTCAGGGAAAAAAGTCCCTGTAAGATGCTTTATCTCCAATTAACCACTCAAAAACTGGAAGTGGTAGATCACTGGCCTAAAGGCCAGGGACAGTGCCCAGGCACTGAGTTCAAGCACCACGACCAACAACAACAACAAAATTCTTAAATATGGGAGAAAAATATAATACCTGAGGCAATTAACTAATAAGGAGGAAAAGGTTATTGTGGCTAATGGTTCTGGAGAGTCCAGTTCAAGGTTGCATGATCCCCATTACTTTAGGTCAGGGCAGCACATCATTATGGGAATGGGAATTCTTAGCAGAGCAAACTCATTACATTACAAGCTAAGAAATCAGTCTGTGTGTGTGTGTGTGTGTGTGTGTGTGTGTGCGCGCGCGCGCGCGTGCATGCATGCATTTTTTTGATATTGGGGCTTGAACTCAGGGCCTCTCCCTCTTGGGTAGCCTTTTTGTTGAAGTCTGTGCTCTACCATTTGACCTCCACTTCCAGTTTTGCTGGTTAATTGGAAATAACAGTCTCTTGGAATTTTCTGCCTGGGCTGGCTTCCAACTGCAATCCTCAGTCCTCATCCTGCTGAGTAGCTGAGCTTACAGGTATGAGTCACAGGTGCCCAGCTAATTATTATTATTGTTGTTGTTGTTAGTGGGACTTGAACTCAGGACCTGAGCACTGTCCCTAAGCTTTTTCATTTAAGGCGACTATCCTATCATTTTGAACCACAGAGCCACTTCTGGTTTTCTGTATGTTAATAAGAATCTCGTGAAGACTTTCCCTCTTGGGCTGGCTTTGAGCCACAATCCTCAGATCTCAGCCTATTGAGTTGCCTAGAATTATATGCATGAGCCACCAGCACCTGACCTTTCTTACTATTTTTTTATTAAGTAGCTTTCCAAATGGGTTGCAATTCCACAGTCGGTCTGTGAGTACACACATCTTGATCAGTGTCACCTCTTTAATCCTTCTTCCTCACCTCTTCTTTCCCAGCCTCACTCATCCTCTCCACTTCCCTGGTCCATTGTCACATATGTACACTGATATTATGACTACATTTGCCCACTTTCCTCTCTGCACTCATGGACTTCCCTCTTCCAGAACACATGTACCAGTTTTCTGGTATTCATTTTGTTAAACTGTAACAACTTTCCTTCTTTTTTGGTTATAGGGCTTGAACTCAAGGCCTTTGCATCCGAGCTTTTCTGCTCATCTCTAGTGTTTACCACTTTAGGCCACAGCTCCTCTTCTGGTTTTTAGATTGTTATTTGGAGATAAGAGTCTTATGGATTTTCCTGCCTGGGCTGACTTTGAACCTCAATCCTCATATCTCAGTCTCCCAAGTAGCTAAGATTACAGGTGTGAGCCACCAGCACACGGCTCAACATATCTTTTAAAAAATTTTAATTTAGTCCTGTTCCAATTGGGCCTGACCAAGTCTTGCTAAGAGGAACCCAGCTGAGAAATACTCAATGGATCACTGGTGTCATCATTTACACTGGATCTGAAACCAAGTTAATGCAGGTAAATGATCTGGGTTTAGTATCTTTTGTGTGTATGCTATGTGCTGTCTCTGTGTGTGTGTGTGTGTGTGTGTGTGTGTGTGTGTGTGTGTGTGTCTCAGTACTAGGGCTTGAATTCAGGGACTCATGCTCTTGCGTGAGTCTTGCTTTTTTTTTTTCCCTCAAGGCTGGTGCTGTTCCACCCCAGCCATGCCCTGACTTTTTTGGGGTGATTAATTGGGGATAAGAGTGTAACAGACCTTTTGGTTCCCAGGCAGCTTTCCAACTCTGATCCTCAGATCTTAGCCTTCTAAGTAGTGAGGCATTAGCCATTAGTGCCAGACTTTAGTGTTTATCTTTTAAATTCAGAAGTCTAATGATTTCTGTTCATAATTTGAAATTAGAAAGGAGGTTCCTATTTCATCTCCAGTTTTAACTATTTCATCTGACTTTTGAAAATATTTCTTATTGGTTATGTATTATATATAGCACAGTTATCTTGTTTGTATACCACAGTTCCTTTTGATCATTTTTGTGTTTTGTTTTGATGGGTTTATGTGACTCTGTACTCATGGACTTATGTTTTGCCGGATTTGTGTGTCAAAGTGTGCATGCATGTATGTATGTACATTTGCTATTGTACAGAATGCTGTCAAATCACCTCTGAAGAAATCACAGGTTGAGAAAGTGACCAACCTCCAGATCCTGGCATTGTTCCTGTTTCTGTTGGTCATGTCCATGGTGAGCTGTGCCGGAGCAATGTACTGGAATCAAATGTACAGCATGGATATGTGGTACATGAGGAGGAAGGGTAAATATCAAAGGGTGGGCAGAAGCTGCCGTTGCTGGAGGTTACTATGCCTTGTAATGACTTATAGGAGGAAAAATGGGGGAGAATAATGGAAGGGGTGATACTGATCAAAATGTGTTGTACTCATAACCTGACTTAAGGAACTGAAACTTCTTTGTGCAACAACTTAACAATAAAAATATTAAGAGACTTGTTTGCATCTTTTGTTTAAAAAGAGGGGCACTTATTCTCACAGGTCCATTTTTATTATTGTTTTCTTTACGTAATTTTACAGAGGGATTTCAGCTCAACAGATCAGTTTATGAGTACAATGCATCTTGATCAGTGTCACCCCTTCTAGCATTCTCACTAACCCTATTATTCTCTCCTAACCCTATCTATCTTGTCAAGTTACCTGGTTCAGATTTTCACGTATGTACATTGAATAGAATGACTAATTTCACCTACTTTTCTTTCCCTTTCCCATTTGTCTACTCCTCTCCACTTGGCCTACCTCCCCAAATGAAACATGCTTTTTGGTATTTATTTTGTTAAATTGTAAGTTTGTTGTTCATAGGAGTTACACCATTGGATTCTTCCCATGTGTGGACCAAACTTTGGTCAATTAGTTTGTGTATATATGCATATGACCTTGTGTTTTCTTTCTTTTTTTGGGGGGGGGGGGTCCAGTCGTGGGGCCAGAACTCTGGGCCTGAGAGCTGTCCCTCAGCTCTTCAGCTCAAGGCTAGTGCTCTACCACTTGAGCCACAGTGCCACTTCCGGCTTTTTTCTTTTTGCTTATGTGGTACTGAGGAATCGAACCCAGGGCCTCATGCATGCAAGGCAAGCGCTCTACCACTGAGCCAACTTCCCAGCCCTGACCTTGTGTTTTCATATGTACATTTCTAATTTAGATCTAGCTTTCCATGCATCCTTTATCTCTTTGAGCCTGACTATATTCAACATTCAACATTTAGCATTTGCAGTTCCATCCAATTCCCTACATATGACATATTATTTTTTCTGACAGATGAGTAAGCTATTGTAAATTTATTCTTTACAATGGAAAAGTATACATATGTGGGTGTATATATGTATATATATACATGACTGTATGTATACATATATATCACATTTTCTTTCTTTTTTTGTTAGTTGTGGGGCTTGAACATATCACATTTTTTTAAATTCACTCATCCATTATAGGGCATCTGGGCTGTTGCCATAATTTGGCATCTTGGCTGTGGTGAAGATGGGTGTGCAAGTATCTTTACTGTATCCTGTATAATAACCTTTACTGTATAATATTCTGGATAGATGCCCAAGAATTGTATCACTGGATCATAAAGTAGTTCTGTGTTAGTCCATTTATTTTTGAGAAAGTGATTAATAAATTAGTATAAGTGAATATTCCCTTAAGATTTTTAAAAATGGGGCTGGGAAGTTGGCTCAGTGGTAGAGTGCTTGCCTTGCATGCCTGAGGCCTTGGGTTCGATTCCTCAGCATCACATAAGCAAAAAGAAAAAAGCCGGGAGTGGCGCTGTGGCTCAAGTGGTAGAGTGCTAGCCTTGAGCTGAAGAGCTGAGAGACAGTGCCCAGGCCCAGAGTTCAGGCCCCACGACTGAACCCCCCCCCCCAAAAAAAAAAAGATTTTTAAAACAGACAACACCTTGCTATATAACTGAGATTGTGATACTATGTGTACACACACAAGTACATATCCATTATAAATTGTTATATATATTACATGTACACATGAATTACAGTATGCTATTTTAACATATGTATACATTGTGAAATGATCTAACCAGGTTATTTATACATACTTCACATACCTCAGATTTTCTTGGACTAAGAGCATTAAATAAAAAAAAAAACTACTTTTTTTTTGTCCATCGTGGGGCTTGAACTCTTGCTGGGCATTATCCCTCAGCTTTTCAGCTCAAAGCAAGTACTCTACACTTGAGCCACAGTGCCACTTCCAGTTTTCTGGTGGTTTATTGGAGATAAGAGTCTCACAGCCTTTCCTGCCCGGGCTGGCTTGAACCACGATCCCCTCAGATCTCAGCCCTCTGAGGAGCAAGGAATACAGATGTAAGCCACAAGCACCTGGCAAACACTACTTTTAAAAAGCAATTTTCAATTATACAGTACTTTATTATTAATGAGAACCATCATCCTATATAGTACATCTTCAAACTTACTCCCCCTGTTGAACAGAAACTTTATACTCTTTTTTTGGTGTGTGTATGTCTGAACTGTGATTTGAACTCAGGGCTTCTTTGTCCTTGTTTGGCTCTTTTGCTCAAGATTGAAGCTATACCACATGAGCCACACCTCCATCTTCTATGTTGAATTTTCATAGGAATATTACTGCATCCAACAGTTTACTCTTTAAAAATCAAGTGCAGGGGCTGGGAAGGTGGCTCAGTGGTAGAGGCTTGCCTAGCATGCGTGAGGCCCTGGGTTCAATTCCTCAATACCACATAAACAGAAAAAGCTGAAGTGGCACTGTGGCTCAAGTGGTAGAGCGCTAACTTTGAGCTGAAGAGCTGAGGGACAGCGCCCAGGTTCAGAATTCAAGCCCCATGACTGACAAAAAAAAAAAAAATCAAGTGCAGTTTGCAGTTGCCGGGTGCTGGTGGTTCATGCCTGTAATCCTAGCTACTCAAGAGGCTAAGATCTGAGGATTATGGTTCAAAGCCAGTGGAGCAGGAAAGTCCATGAGACTCTAATCTCCAATAAACCACTCAGAAAACTGAAAGTGGTGCTGTGCCTCATGTGTTAGAGCACTAGACTTGAGCTGAAGAGCGCAGGGACAGTGCCCAGGCCCAGAGTTCAAGCCCCACAACCAATTAAAAAAAAAGAAAAAAAAGAAAAATCAAGTACAGCTATGAATTTTACAGAGTATCATAGTATCATATTTGCTTGCTTTTAAATGAGCCTCCTAGTCCAGTTTTTTCTTTGCATTTCAAACCTCATAATTATTTATACACATTACAAATAATATGTATTTATGTATATGTACACATGCACATACACACATTACATACATGTGCCCCATTTTTGTGCTGTTGCTATTGTACTTGAATTTGTTGCATACCATTTCTACTGGGCCAACTTTCTCAGGCAGCAAGCTGCATTCTTGAATCTCAGTGCTTATTTGTCTCATTATGTGACTGGTGTTTAATAAGAAAAAAGCAGGTTTTTTGGTTTGGTTTTGTTGGTTTGTTTTTTGGCTAGATGCTGGTGGCTCATGCCTATAATACCAGCTACTCAGGAGGTGTTGCTGGCATCTGAAGATCATAGGTTGAAGCCCACTGGGACAAACAAATCCATGAGACTCTTTTCTCCAATTCCCCAGCAAAAACCCAGAAGCAGGGATGTGGCTCAAGTGGTAGAACAGTGGCCATGAGTAAAAAAGTCAAGCAACTATGAAGCCCTGAGATCAAGTCCCAGTACTGGCACACACACCAAAAGCAACCAACCCATTTTTGTATTTTTGTGCACTTTGAATAATGATTTCCCACAATTTGAACAATATGATCATGCAAACAAGACAGATAATGCTGTAACCAAGTTCTTATGATTTTCTTCTGCAGGTTACAGCCCTCACATCTTTGCCTTGGATAGCTTGGTGTTCATCATTTTGTACCACAATCTCATTCCCATCAGTCTACTCGTAACTCTGGAGATTGTGAAATTTACTCAGGCTCAGTTTATAAACTGGGTGAGTATGAAAATAAAAAACTCAACCCCCTCAAAAATTCTCTCAAGCTTTTATTTAGTCACTAAGTTGGGGCTGGTGTTGGCGATGGCCTGGGTATGCTTCAACAGGAAACAACCACTAGTGGTGTTTCCGTGGCTCAGTGGTACTTCTGGGCCACTTTAAGTTCATCTTTAGGATATCATCATTTCATGTATATTTTTCAGATATTTCAGATTTCAGATATAGTAGATTCATAATAGTAAGTATAGCTTGCCACTGGTGGCTCATGCCTGTAATCCTAGCTACTCAAGAGGCTGAGATCTGAGGCTCACCATGCTAAGCCAGCCCAGCAGGAAAGTCAATGGTATTCTTACCTCCAATGAACAACTAATCCCTCCCCCCTCCCCCTTCCACCATCCCCCCCCTCACCTGCCAGAGGTGAGCTGAATGCTGGTAGCTCATGCCTGTAAGCCTAGTTACTCAGGAGGCTGCGATCTGAACATCACAGTTCAGAACCAGTATGGGCAGGAAGTCCATGAGACTCTTACCTCCAACTAACCACCAAAAAGCCAGAAGTAGAGCTGTGGCTTGAGTGGTAGAGTACTAGCCCAAAAGTTCAGGGACAGCAACCATGCCCTGAGTTCAAGCCCCAGGATCAGCACCCCCATAAAAACCAAAAACAAAAATAAACAAAACAGATTGTAGCTCAAGTGATAATGTGATATTCTTGAGCAGAAAAACTCAGGGACAGTACCCAGGGCCTGAGTTCAAGCCTCAGGACAGGCACACACACACACACACACACACACACACACACACACACACACACACACACACACAATAATAGCAAGTATAGAGATAGTTAATTCACTAAAATCCATGATACTCAATACAGTAGATGAGTCTTGTAGACTTAGGACTTTTGCCAAGAATAACCAAGATGAAAGTCTACAATCACTTTAACTTAAGGAAGCACTTTCTTAGGTGACAACCATACATATTCACTGTCATTAATAACTAGTAAATTGAGGACTGAACTAATTATCCAATTTGAATATGAAATTTCAACTTAAAATTATATCCTTAAGTAGTTATTTTCACACTTTTTAATTAGCATGTGTGAGTTGTACAAGGTGGTTTCATTGTGATATTTCTTTACATATATACAATGTTTAGTGATCAAATTCACCCTCTACTACCCTCCCTCATTCCCTCTCCCCCTTCTACAAATGATTTCAACAGGTTATTATTCATACAAGTAGATATTCACCTTCCTACACCCTTTTCCTTCTCTTTCCCCGTCTCACTGCTACCTACCCCTCAAAACAATCTATTATACATTCTTGTAACTCAATTTTAGTGTATATTGATTGTGCAAAGGGTTTCACTGTGGTATTTTACACATGCACCGAAACATTCTATTACTCTTTTTTTAAAATTTTCTTTAAGTAGTTGTACAAAAGGGTTTCAATTCAGCATGTTAATTTATGAGTACAATGCATCTTGATCAGTGTTACCCCTTCCAATCATTCTTCCCATCTCTTCCAACCCTACCCATCCCCTCAAGTTATCTGGTTCTCTTTTCACATATGAACATTAAATATAATGAGTGTATTTGTCTCATCCTCTCTCCATTTGTCTTTCTCCTCTCCCCCTCCCCTCCCCTTGACCCCCACTCCCTTCCGTAACACATGTTTTAGCTTCCTGGTATTTATTTTGTTAAACTGTGTGTGTGGTTTTTTTTTTTTTTTTTTTAAAGAATTACACCATTGGATCCTCCTTTGTTTACCATACATTAGTGAATATTTTATGCATATGACCCTGTATATGTTTTCATGTATATTTATAATTTACATCCACATATGAGAGAAAATATGTGCCATTTGTCTCTCTACTGTTCACTCTTTCCACGTTGCTCCTACTGCTCTATTATACGACCGTTTTAGTGAATGTTCTTATGTTATCCTCACAAACACAATGTACTTGGATATTATTCACCCTCCATTGTTCTTGCCCTTTGCCTGCCACATCTGCCCAAAGGTCCCATAAATTATAATCATGTTCTGTGTGTGTATATGTGTACATATATACATATTGACCTGTCTATCATTTAAGTCTAGGCTCCACATGTAAGAGGAAAAATCTGACCATTCTATTTCTTAAATATTTACTTTCTTTGTCAAAAAATTATGGCTGGCTGCCTCATGTTAAAAATATATTCTCATATGCAGAAGCTGGATCTCAACTATCACGAGACATGATCAGTTATACAGACCTCAAGGCATTCACACACAGTGAGACCAAAGAAGGAAACTTTTAGGGGAGGAACACAAAGGCACAATGAGTATGTGCCTCTGATCATATAAAATAATATTTATCGAAATGAACTCCAGGAAATGGAAATGAGGTTTTATTGTTTGTCCCTTTTGTTTTCTTTTCGTCTTGTTTGTTTATCTGACTTCGGGAGGGTACAGGGGAGGCACAGAAATGGAGGGACAAAGGGTGAAGAAATGTGGCAGTGGTCCTCACTAGACACTATGTTGAAAATGAATATACAACTTGTGGGTGGGGACGGGAGGGAAAAACTGTGAGAGAGTGAGGGAAGAGATGGGGAAACAAAGGAAGAGGCAATAATGCTTGAAAAGAAATGTACTCATTATCTTGCCCATGTGATGGTAACCCCTCTATATGGTGTTTTCACAATTTAAAAAAATTTAAAAGCAAAAAAAAAAATAAAACAAACAAAAAAAGAATGAGGGAAGAGATAACATTGTACAAAAAGAAATATACTCTTTACCTCACTTATGAAATGGTAACCCCCTTTCTACATCACTTTTTTTTTTTCGGTCGTTGTGGGGCTTGAAGTCTAGGCCTAGACACTGTCCCTGAGCTCTTCAGCTCAAGACTAGCGCTCTACCACTGTGAGCCACAGTGCCACTTCGGGCCTTTTCTGAGGAATTGAACCCAGGGCCTCATGCATGAGAGGCAAGCACTCTACTGCTGAGCCACCTTCCCAACCCCTCAATTTATAATAACAATAAAAAATAGAAATTAAAAATAGTTATTCTCTCACTCTATCATTGGCTTGCCATGATTGAAAGGGAATATTTTCTTTGGTTGTTGTGGTTTTGCTGGGGATGACCTCACAGCCTCACCATTGCTAGTCATCGCACTACCACTGAGCCACATTCCAACTGGGAATACTATTATAATCATGCAAGGTGAGACAGACCACATTCAAATGCATTTCATTTAAGTTCTCCTAAGTACTTGAGATCCAAATTGTTTCCATTTGATAGATGTGGCAGATGAGATACAGAGATGTCAAGTAACCTCCTCAAAACCCAGGGCTTGGCTGATGCAGTGCTGATATCCAAGCCAAGTCTTACACTCCTAGATCATCCAAACATCAAAATGTCTTTATAGAAGGCACTGCCTGTCCTGTTTGATTCTCCTAACACATGGGAAAAGCATTAGCATCTGATCCTGCATTTTCTAAACATCAGTGTCAGAGAAAGATCCATGGCAGTGAAATCTTTGAAGGAATCATAAGCCTAGTTCTGAATCTGGTTCTGAATCTTTGTTTTCCATTTCTCACAGGATGAGGATATGCATTTTCAAGAAAATAATATCTATGCCATGGCTAGAACATCTAATCTTAATGAAGAGCTTGGGCAGGTAAGCGTCTTCTAGGGTTAGGCAAGGAGGCAGACGCTAAAAAGAAGACTCTAAAGAAAGCTTGTGCAAGCCAAAATGCCAACTAAAGATAAAATGATCCATTTTCTAGATATTTACAATGAAACTTTTCTTTGAAGGAAAATGAGCTTGGACTTCTGATTTTCTTAATTTTGATAGCTTAAAGTTTACTTTGCCTATTACCATATAGTTTGTTATATAGTTTATAACAGGAAAGGATGTCCTTCAAAATAATTAAAAATACTAAACACTTAATAGAAAAATATTGAAGATAAAATCTTTTGAGCCAAGTTCTTTTTTTTTACTTTCTTAAGCCACATATTTGAGGATTTAGAGAGAACATACATCATCTTAATTGTCTTTGCTCTGTAAGTATACTTGAAACTTACATGAGCTCTCATGTTCACTTTTTTTCTTTAGGTAAAATACTTATTTACTGATAAAACAGGAACTCTTACCTGCAATATTATGACATTTAAGAAATGTACCATTGCAGGCATAATTTATGGGTAAGTGCATTTATTGCCATTTGTGTGTGTGTGTGTGTGTGTGTGTGTGTGTGTGAGAGAGAGAGAGAGAGAGAGAGAGAGAGAGAGAGAGAGAGAGAGAGAGAGCTGGTACTGTGCCATATTTAGGAAATTCATTTTTCTTAGTATACATTAATTATTTATTCTAAGACTTGCCTGAATTTCTAATACCATAGCTATCTCTGAGTGAGACTGAAATATATATTGCAGCTGAAAGAGAAACTTGCAGTTGTCAAATTTATATATGATGAGAATTCCTACCGTTTTAGACTGATAGTCTTTTGTGAAACATATTTTCCCCCTTGCTTTCCTTTAGGGATCACTCAGACACGAGTGACGTCTGTCCCCAAAAATGCAGGTATAGACAATTTTCCTGTCTATTTGTTCTTTTTCCTTGTGAACAATTTTATTTTTTCTGGTACTGAGGCATGAACTCATGTTCTTGATAAGCTTTTTCACTTGAGCTTGGTGCAACCACTTGAGTCATGCATACCTCCACACTTAGCTTTTTGCTGCTTCATTGAAGATAAGAGTATCTTGGAGTTGTCTGCCTATACTGGCTTTGAGCTGCCTAAATAGCTAGGATTACAAGTGTGAGCTACCAGTGCTTGACAGCACCTTCTTCTTGTCCATACCTCAAATGGAGCTCCTGGGGAGCATCCCTGGGCAGATCTTTGCTGTGTGGTGTTCAGAGAATAATATATGGTTTTGAAACTTTCTTATAAACTGCTTATAACTACAGGCTAAGTTTCTCTCATCTGAAATGCTTGGGACCAGAAGTGTTTCAGATTTTGAAATTTCCTTCACATTTGTTTATATAGAATGAGATAACTTTAGGATAGGACCCAATCTGAACATAAAATCCATCTTTCTTTCAAATACAACTTGTACACCTAGCCTGAAAGTGATTTTATACCATTTTTAGATTTTAATTGACATATAATAATGACATATTTATGGAATACACTGTGCTTTTTTAATACATGTATATGAGATGTAATGATCAGATCAGGGTAATTGGTATATGCATCATTGTAGCATTTATTGCTTCTTTATGTTGAGGATACTCCTCTCTTCCAGCTGTATTTAATTACACAGTAAATAATTGCTAGAGGATAGTAGAATTTAATCCTTTTTAAATGTGATTTTTAGATAGCTTTAAAATATAATTATGTATGTGAAGAAAATTTCCTTGGTAGGGACATTTTCCAGCTATGGCATCCGAGTGAGATTCAAAAAGTTAGGATTCCGGGGCATTTCAGGTTTCAGAGTTTGGGATTGGGGATGATCAACCTGCATATGGCTTTCAAGGCCATCTAAGCATTTTTTAATGCCTCTGCTGTTAAAGCCCAGGAGTGTGTCACTTGACAAAACTTGTAAATATTTTCTATAGATCTGTCATCTCTAGTTGTGATCTTCCTTAAAACACAAGAAGAAGGAATTTGTTTACTTTAGATCCTTTTGATATTGACTAGTCCCATCAAAGCATGGGTGGCTCACACCTGTAATCCTAGCTATTTAAGAGGCTGAGATCTGAGGATCATGGTTTGAAGCCAGCCCATTCAAGAGAGTCCATGAGACTTATTTCCAGTTAACTACCAAAATACCAGAAGTGGATTCATGGCTCATTGTCTTTGATAAAGTGTTAGCAGTAAAAGCTAAGAGAGAGTACAAGGTCCTGAGTTTAATTCCCAGTAATGGCAAAATAATAATAATAATAACAACAATTTTCTCTCTCCTGTCTTATAGTCAAGCGTCACCTTCTTATGAATTTAATGATCCTGCATTATTAGAGAACTTTGAGAAAGGCCATGTAAGTCTGTTATTTTCTCCATAAATTCCATGTTATCTCACTTGAATTAATATATATACATAAATACATATTATATGATTATATTAAATATATCTGGCATTCTAAAAGGTACAGTTTTCAGAATCTAGGAAGAAAGAGCTATGTTCAAAGGGACAACTAAATAGAGGAAGGATAAGTGAATATAATCTGTGCCTTTTATTTTCTAGCCCACAGAAGGATACATAAAAGAATTTTTTACCCTGTTATGTGTGTGCCACACAGTTATCCCTGAGAAAGAGGGGAATAATATCATCTACCAGGCTTCCTCCCCAGGTAGGTGTCATGGTTTCATGCGTGGGGGTGAAGGTACAGCTCCTGCTGGCTGGTGGTGGTGGGCCTCTGATGTCCTCCACGGCTCCTGCCTTTTGCTTTCTCTGGGGTTCTCACAGGTCACAGCAGCTTTGAGCTGTTCTACAGGCCCTAGGACTTCTTCTCTCCTACCCCAAAGAGGCTGGAGCAGTACTGTTTGAGGCTCAGTGATGTGTTTGGGTATAACTATAATACAGCAGAGGTTAAGGCCTCCCAACATTTTTGGGGGGTGTTGTTAATGGCACTGAGAACACATAAGGTTGTTTTGAATAATACTTCCATCAGTGTGGTAGTTTCATCTTAGTTCAACTAAAATAAGCCCTTTTTTGACCAAACTTCCTCTGTCATGAACACAATGGTATTAAGAAGGTTGGATAAGTTGCTTTGGATAAAAAAACAGTAGAGGGGTATGTGTGTGTGTGTGTGTGTGTGTGTGTGTGAGAGAGAGAGAGAGAGAGAGAGAGAGAGAGCCTGAACTCAAGGCTAGGTCCCTTACCATTTTAGCTCAAGGTTGGCACTACATCACTTGAGCCACACCTCCACTTCTAGCTTTTTGTTGGTTAATTGGAAATAAGAGTCTCATGGACTCTTCTGTTCAGGCTAGCTTTGTACTGCCTTCCTCAGATCTCAGCCTCCTGAATAGCTAGGATTACAGGCATGAGCCACCAGTGTCCCCAACATAAAAAAGCCATGCTCTATATGAAAACATAAAAAGGGTCATTCATTTACATACACAAACATATTCACTGATATATGGTAAACTCAGGGAAGAATTCCAATGGTATCCTTTCTTTGAACAACTAGCTTACAGTTTAGCAGAATGAATCCCAGGAAGCTGGAATATTTGTTGTAGAAGGAGGAGGTCAAGGAGAAAAGGGGCAGACAAACAGAGAGAGGAAGAGAGAAGGAATACAGTCATAATATTAAATGTACATATGTAAAAATGGAAGCAGGAAACTTGGGGTGATGGATGGGTTTGGGAGAGATGGGGAAGAATAATGAAAGTGGCTGTACTCATAAACTGACATGTTAAATTGAAATCCCTTTGAAGAGCTACTTAAAAATAATTTGGAAATGGGGGCGGGGGTAGGATGGGAAGGGGAAACAAAGGAGGAGGCTACAATGCTTGATAAGAAATGTACTCATTATCTTACCCATGTAATTGTAACCCCTCTGTACAGTATTTTCACAATAAAAAAATTAAAAAAATAATTTGGAAAAAATGGGGGAAAAAGAAATAACTCCAAATTGTGTACTGGTGATGGTGGTGGAGAGTTGGATAATTTTGTTATTTTTCTTTCTCTTTTAGTTGCCTTTATTATTTTATTCTATTTTTTATTTCATTATCCTCAGTTGTACAAAGGGATTTCAATTTTCTCTTAGGTTTAAAAACCTATCTGTGTATACTAGTTGAATTTTTTGCAAACCTAAATGCAAAACATAATGAAGTTTTTTTTAAGTTTAAGATAAAAGTTAAAGATAAAAGCATCAGAAAGGCATGTGGGGCTGGAAGGTGGCTCAGTGGTAGAGTGCTTGCCTTGCATGCATAAGGCCCTGGGTTCGATTCCTCAGCACCACATAAGCAGAAAGAGCCAGAAGTGGCACTGTGGCTCAAGTGGTAGAGCGCTAGCCTTGAGCTGAAGAGCTGAGGGACAGCGCCCAGGCCCAGAGTTCAGGCCCCACAACCAACCAAAAAAAGAAAAAGAAAAAAGAAAGCCATGTTGAAAAACCGATATTATATATCAGTACCAGAGGATAGAAGTCTGTATTAGATGTATTGTGGTGTCAACACATTTGTTCAGTTTCAATTAATACAATGCATTTATTAACAGATGAGGCAGCTTTAGTGAAAGGAGCAAAAAATCTTGGGTTTGTTTTCACCACCAGAACACCTTACTCTGTCACCATAGAAACCGTGAGTAGGACACTGCTGAGTGCTTCACACAGAAAGGCTCATCTAGACAGGGAAAAGTGTGTGGTGGTCCCCAGCAGGGGCCTGAAAGCAATGGGAGGCTTACCTGGCTCCACCCCTTCCCTACCAGCATTCTCAGGGGCCTTTCCTCACCTGCTCCTCAGTTCTATTGTTGTACATACTGCACGGTCCATTCAAGGATTCTGTGAGTTACTAAACAAAGTAATTTAAACCCATGTCCAGAACGCAGAAAGTGTACAACTCAAGTGACTATCCAAAGGTGTAAAATCATCAGACCATCAAAAACTATATAGGCATCTGTGGCTCACACCTGAAATCCTAACTATTCAGGAAGCTAAGAGCTGAGGACTGAGATTCAAAGCCAGACTGTGCAGGAAAGTCCATGAGACTCTTATCTCCATTTAACTACTACCAAGAAGCCAGAACCGGAGGTGTGACTCAAGTGGCAGAGTGCTAGCCTTTAGCATAAAAGCTCAGGAACAGCCCCCAGTCCCTGAGTTCAAGCCCCAGTATTGCAGCAAAAAAAGAAAAGAAAGAAACAGTGCATGAACACTATCAGGTGACTGGGGATTCATTTAGTAAATGAGACAATTAGCAGACAGCAATGGACCAATGAATGGGATTTGAACTCAAGGCCTCATACTCTTACTTGGTTTTTCAGGAGGTGAGACACACCTCCTCTTCTGGCTGGCCTTTTAAAGTTATTTATATTAAGTAGTTGTATAAAGGGCTTGCAATTCCATGAATCAGGTCATGAGTATAATACTTCTTGGTCAATGTCACCCCTTCCTTTGTTGCCCCTCACACTTCTGGATTTTTGCTAGTTAATTGGAGACAAGAGTCTCACAGGCTTGGGCTTTACCCCCTGGGCTGGCTCAACCTGTGACAATCAGATCTAACAGTATAAATTCCAAATTGAAAGAATGTTGGTAGAAAGATGTTGGTAGAAAGCTTTGTACTGTAAGCGCCCAAGTTGCAGCTGGCAAATCATGCCTTGTTTTAGAAGGGGATCCCTGAATTGGAACTCAGGGTCTCTCACTTGCTGGCCCTGCATGAAGTGCTTTTCCCAGAGGAAGGTGCAGTCGTCAGATTTGCAGGCAAATGTGTATTTTGAAAAAGATAAATATTTAGAGGGTAAAATGTCATTTTTTGATGGGAAGGAGTGAATTAATTTGCAAAATGAAAATTTCATTTCTCAGGTAAGAATGTGTTGTTTTATCTTCTTGTAGATGGGAGAAAGCTTCACTTTTGAAGTCCTTAATATCCTTGAGTTTTCTAGGTAAGCTGTCTTCTTGTACAGTTCATGTATGTTTACAATTCATTCCAGCTGGGATCTGGTAACAGAGACCAAACTCCAATGCAGAGCCAGGAAAGTCTAGCCTCTGCCTTGAAATTTCACATCAGTTCTCAGCTTTTCAGAGAACTTTTCAGGCCAGACTTCCCTTTGCTGGTTTCTTAAGGGTCTACACATCTCTCTCAATAACACTTGTTAAGGTCATAGTTGTATTTCAAATCTGTCATTACCTAATGGCCTCAGCCCCTGAAGATGGGAAGTACCTCCCCCACACAGTGTCTGGGGTCAAGGAAGTGCTTCCTAAATAGTGGATGACAGGATGAACATTGAAAATTATTTTCACAGATAAATGTTTTTGAAAGTTATCAGTGAGTTAATTTTTTTTCTTCCTCTCTTCACCCTCCTTGCCTCCCTCCCTCCCTCCCTTCCTTCCCTTTTTCCTTCTTCCTCTCCTCTCCTCTCCTCTCCTCCCCTCTCCTCTCCTCCCCTCCCCTCTTCTCCTCTCCTCTCCCCTCCCCCTCTCCTCCCTTCTCCCCTCCCCTCCCCTTCCTCCCCTCTCCTCCCCTCCCCTCCCTTCCCCTTCTCTCCTCTCCTCTCCTCTCCTCTCCTCCCCTCTCCTCTCCTCTCCTTTTTTTGTTGTTGCCGATACTGCGGCTTGAGCTCAAGGCCTCACACTTGCACTTAGCTTTTTCACTTAAGACTTCCAACTGCAATCCTCAGATCTCAGCCTCCTGAGTAGCTAGGATTTCAAGTGTGAACCACCAGCACCTGCCTTTTTTTTCTAAAGGAAAAATGGGATGTCCAAGTCTTTCTTTCTTTCTTTCTTTTTCTTTCTTTCTTCCTTTTTCTTTCTTCCTTCCTTTCTTCCTTTTTCTTTCTTTCTTTTTTCCTTCTTTCTTTTTTCTTTTTTTTTTGCCAGTCATAGGGCCTGAACTCTGGGCCTGGACACTGTCCCTCAGCTCTCTTCAGCTCAAGGTGAGCACTCTACCATTTGAGCTACAAGTACTACTTCCGGCTTTTTCTGCTTATGTGGTGCTGAGGAATCAAACCCAGGGCCTCATGCATGCAAGGCAAGCACTCTACCACTGAGCCACCTTCCCAGCCCCCTTCTTTCTTGTACTGTGTCTGCTGCTTTAGCAGACACATATGGTTCTTCAGAACTCATTGTGATGATATTGTGGTGTTAATCTCATTGAGCTTTAAATAAGACACAAAAAGTCACATTTCCTAATCTGATCATTTCTAATGTGGAATCTAAAAGTGTAGAGAAGGCCATGTAGTAGTAGATGATTAGCTCCTCTGAAAGCCAGATTGCTTTTTTTTTTTTGGTCGGTTGGTCATGGGGCTTGAACTCTGGGCCTGGGCGCTGTCCCTGAGCTCTTCAGTTCAAGGTGAGTGCTCTGCCACCTGAGCTACAGCACCATTTCCAGTTTTCTGGTGGCTTATTGGAGATAAGAGTCTCACGGCCTTGCCTGCCTGGGCTGGCTTTGAACCTCGATCCTCAGATCTCAGCCTGCTAAGTAGCTAGTATAATAGGTATGAGCCACTATCGCCCTGCAAGCCGATTATTTTTAAGTGACACAAGTCTTCCAACTTGATTATATTTTTTAAAAAGCTCCAATTTTCTCCCTTGTACACACACAGGAAAGTCTCTTTAAAAAAATCTTTATGACAACAAAATATATCTCATGGATCATTCTAGCTTTCCCCTTTCTTAATATTTGACTACTACTAGATCAGTTATTGTATGTCATCAAAATTTTCACTTAGCTCTGGGGGTGTAATTCAGGTAGAATTTGGAAAGATGGGAAGAGGCAGCCAGGTAACTAAGCAGAAAGGGCACATTCCTTGGCAGATAGATACAGCTGGATCCAAGGTGCTGGGGAGCTTTTTCTGGTGTCCAGAACCACTGTGGGATCAATATGGTGCCAGGATATAGAAGGAGTGGGAGTCCAGGAGATAGGTTTGGTAAATCCCAAGTAGGCTTTACAGGGTCTTTATAGGAATTTGATTTTTTCTAAGGGAGGCATATTAGTTATTAGCAGGAAATTATTATCCGCTTTGTGTTTTTTTTTTCAAATTCTCTTTTAATTTTTATTTTTCTAATTTTTATTATTATTAAGTAGTTCATTTCCTATTTACAGCACTTTTGCGTGTGTGTGTGCGTGTGTGTGTGTGTGTGTGTGTTGGTACCAGGGCTTGAACTCAGGGCCTCATGCTCTCAGTTTTCTTTGCTCATAGCTGGTGCTCTGCCACTTAAGCCATACTTGCAGCCCAGCTTTTGGCTGGGTAATTGAAGATGGCGATTCAAAGCATGATTCTCCAAGTCTCAGACTCCTATGATGCTAAGATTATAGGGAGGAATCACCAACACCTCAGAATTGTCTTTTCATTCTTAAGTAGAACTAGAAAAGATACTGCGGTTTATAATTAGAGCTCGAGTTTGTTTAGTTTGTTTAGAAAAAGGAAATAGTGGCCGTTGAAGAAACATGTTGACCTTTTCACTGTCAGCTAAGGACTTGAACTACTGAAATTCTTTTGATTAGCTTTTTGGTTTTGTGTGTGTGTGTGTGTGTGTGTGTGTGTGTGTGTGTGTGTGTGTGTTGGTGTGTGTCTCTGTGTTAGCACCATGTACTGAAGAAAATGGAAAGTAATGATACTTTAAAAAATATATTGTTCTAGCAACAGGAAAAGAATGTCTGTAATTGTCCGGACACCCATGGGCCAGCTTCGGCTCTACTGCAAAGGGGCAGTAAGTATTACGATTCAATACTCACTTAGAGGCTTGAGCCACTGGGGCCTGGCTGGTAACATACTTTTTATACTGCTGGATATTTGATACCACATTCATCTATTTCCTGTGTTTTGCCATAGGTCTGGATTTTTGGGAAATGGTGGGGAAGGGAGCAGTTCTAGGACTTGAACTCAGGGCCTGGATACTATTCATTTTGCTCAAGGCTATCACTCTACAACTTGAGCCACAGCGCCACTTCCAGCTTTTTCTGAGTGGTTTATTGGAAATAAGGCTTTCTTGCCTAGGCTGGCTTTAATCTGCAATCCTCAGATCTCAGCCTCCTGAGTAGCTAGGATTACAGGTGTGAACCACTAGCAGCCAGCATCATTTAGCTTCTTTGTATAACCTATCAGCAGAGAGTAACCTTGTCATCTGAATCTCACATAGCTGGAACCATTTGCAGCCCAATCAGCAACTATGACATTTTAGCTTAAAGTAGAGCAATTCAACCTTAAAATCTTATCTCTGAAATTCAGGAATTGTCTTTTCCTTGTGGCTGCTCCAACTCCTCACACTTCTTAGGACTAACAAGATTCTCAAGCAGCATTTGGAATTTGGATTTGAATCTTTGTATAAAATGTTAATCACAAGGAGTCTTTTTTTTTTAAATAATATAGGATGCAGTGATTTATGAGAGACTTTCAAAAAATTCTGAGTTTGTGGAGGACACATTAAGCCATCTGGAATATTTTGCTACAAATGGTAAGTGAAGGTTCTTAGAGTCCTTTTGGAAATATTGTTTTATTTTAAAAAGTGAATTTCTTATTATTAAGTAGCTGTACAAAGGAGTTGCAGTTCCAGAACTCAGGTTATAAGTATAATGCATTTCGGTCAATATCCCTCCTCCCATGGCTCTGCCCATCCTTCCCTATCCTGTCCCTACGATCAAGTTCAGTAGTTCAGTTTTTCACACTGTAATTTGGATATTTCATTACAGTCTTATCCTTTCATCCCTCCATCCTCTCTACCTCCCTCCTTCCCTCTGTTCCTTCCTTTCCTTTTCTTTCTTTCTCTCCCCACTCTATCCTTCTCTTTTTTCCCTCCCTTCCTTTCTTCTTCCCACCGTCCACTTCCCTTTAGCTTTCATTTTGTGCCAGCACTGAGGTTTGAACTAAGGAACTCTCACTCTTGCTTGACTTTATTTTTTTGCTCAAGGATGGTGTTCTATCACTTGAACCATACCTCCACTTCTAGATTTTTGAATTTCATAGACTTTTCTGCCTGGGCTAGCTTTGAACTGTGATCCTCAGTTATCAGCCTCCTGAGTAGCTAGACTTACAGGTATGAGCCGCTGGCACCTGATTTCATTGGAATCCCAAGATATAGATGTTCTGTACACAGGCTGAAATATGTAGAAACATACAGGAAGAACAGTATTATACAGAGCAACAACTGCATGTATTCTATAGACAGTTACTTTCTAAGGAATCTCCAAATATGGATATTTTTTCTGAGTCGTTGAAGTATAGTACACTTAGTTTTTAAAAAAATTTTTTCTCACAAAATCTAGTTTAAATTAATATTCTGAGCCGGGCACTGGTGGCTCACGCCTGTAATCCTAGCTACTCAAGATGTTGACATCTGAGGATTGCGGTTCAAAGCCAGCCCAGGCAGGAAAAGTCCAAGAGACTCTTATCTCCAATAAACCACTGGAGGTGGTGCTGTGGCTCAAGTGGTAGAGCACTAGCCTTAAGCTGAAGAGCTGAGGGACAGCACCCAGGCCCAGAGTTCAAGCCCCATAACCGACCAAAAAAAAGCTTATGAGAGCTCATCTTAACCAATAAAAGCTGGACACAGTGGCATATACCTGTCATCACAGCTATTCAGGAAGCACAAACAGACGTACTGAATATCAGACTAGCCTAGGGAATCAGTGGGATTCCCTATTCAAAAAATAAAGTCAAAAGGGCTTAGAGGTATGGTTCAGATGGTAAAACACCTTCCTAGTAAGTTCAAGGCTCTGACTTAAAACTCTAGTATGACAAAACCAAACCAAAAAAAAAAAGTACTGCCAAAAACAATTTAAAAAAGAAAATGCTTTTGGATATTTTTCCCCCTCATGTTCAACTTTTCCCTGGTTGCTAGTCATAGAACTATGCTATGCCATGATCTCGCAGGTCTGAGAACTCTCTGTGTAGCTTATGCTGATTTAACTGAGGAGGAATATGAGCACTGGCTGAAGGAGTATGAGAAAGCTAGCACCAACTTACATGACCGAATTAAAAAACTGGAGGATTGCTACGATATCATTGAAAAGGTAAGTCAATTGAGAGCAACACATGAAGGAAATCTACTTGCCAGTGATATAAAATCAGTGAAAGTTTGGTTGGTGGGTTTCTTCCAGCTGTATCAAATTGTGTTTCTGAATCATATCCTGAAACTGCTTCAGTCTTACAACTGTTTTTGTACTTCTTCCAGTCAAAAATTTGTAATGCTCATTATGGAAAATAAGCTAGAATAATGCATAATCATCTACAGTGCTGGAGTAGTGAGCAGGGTCTGATGTAAACACTTTCAGCCTCTGTCTTTATATGTGTGTGTTCTTATTTGTTCTGTATTATGTTACATATGTTGAAGACATACATTCTGCATTACAGTTAGCATGTGTACACCACATGCTTGAAGCATGAATTTTTCACATGACAAATTGGGAGCACTTAACAATAAAACATCGGGAGCACTTTTCACCCATATCGTTGAATAGTCTTATGAGTTCTAATGTAAGTTTGAATGCATTTGTATTGGGTGTTCTGTGTGTTCCTTTTCTCCAGGGCAGTGTTATGAGTTGGAGAGTATCACTAAGAGGTCATAGTGAATTTATTTCTGCTAGAGCCTCTGAAATTTCATTGATCTTTAGGCAATCTTTTCCTTAGATTCTTGGCTTAGAGTTCTTCTGTTCCTTTGAGCCAATAAACTCTGCATTTTATTCTTAAAAATGTTTAACCAGAACATAGTTAGCCCTAGGAGGGACTAACTATGGGGGTATTTTCTGGCCCTCTTCCAAGCTCTTAGGCCAATACCTTTGCTTCTTATTTTCCCCTTAGGAAATCATACGATTTTAAATTCTTTTCTTGTTGGGGGAATGGTAAGGAAGATAATTTCTGTATTTGAAATCAAGAGTCCCATTAAATATACTGTAACATATCATAACTATGTTCACATTTGCATACCCATCAAACAATGAAAATAGAAAAGTTTCAACATTTCCCACAAAACCCCACAACCATGATTATTCACACGGTTCTTCCATTTCTCCACATCTAGCCCTATGCAATTACCCATCTGCTTTCTATCCCTTTCAGTTTGCCTCTTTCAGACAACTAGAATTATAAGTAACCCCTCTGTACATCACCTTCATAATAAGTTTTTAAAAATTATTGAAAATTATAAGTGGACTTATATGCTATGCATTCTTTAGTGACTTGCTTCCTTTTTTGTTGTGATTTTTTAATTCATTTTGGCAAATATTATATGATTAGAGACATAAAGGCATTGTGCCTTTGTGTTCCTCTCCTAAGAATATCCTCCTTTGGTCTCACTGTGTGTGAATGCCTAGAGTCCTGTATGACTTGCTCCTTTCCCCTGGCTTAATACTTTCATGGTTTATCCATATTGTAGCATGTATCAGTACTTACTTTATTTTCAATTCTGAATAATACTCCATAAGAAAGATGGGCCACATATTTAACCATTCATCTGTTCACGGACATTTGAGTTATTTCTACTTCACAGCTATTATGAATAATTTCAGGCAAGCATATACTTTCAATTATCTTGGGCATATGCCTACGAGTGGAATTGTGAGGTCATGTGGTAGCTACATAGATAACTATTTGTGTAGCTGTAAGATTGTTTTTCAAAGTGACCACACACTGTTGTATACTCTCAGTCCTAGCATATAAAGTTCTAATTTTTTCCCATCTTCATCAACTCCTGTTACTGTCCTTTATTGATTATAATCATCCTACTGGCTATGAAATTACATCTCACTATGATTTTAATTTCATTTCTTTAGTGATTAATATTGAGGGTCTTTTCATATGTCTGTTGTTTATTCATCTGTCTTCCCTGGGTAAATGTCTATCAAATAGTTTGGCCGTGTGTGTGTGTGTGTGTGTGTGTGTGTGTGTGTGTGTGTGTGTGTGTATGTGTGTGTGTGTATGTGTATGTATGTGTGTGTGTGTGCTGGTCCTGGGGCTTGAACCCACAGCCTGGGTGCTATTCCTTGAGCTTTTGCTCAAGGCTAGCACTCTACCACTTGAGCCACAGCTCTCCTTCTGGCTTTTTGGTGGCTAATTGGAGAAAAGAATCTCATGGACTTTCCTGCTTGGACTGGCTTTGAACTGCAATCCTCAGATCTCATCCTCCTAAGTAGCTAGGATTACAGATGTTAGCCATTGGCACCTGGCTTTTGTACTTGATAATTTTCCTTTCTTACAGTATGTTTTCTCTGAAATGAATACGGTAATCTTGCCTTTTGTTTGTGTTAGGATGGTACAATATATCTTTCTCCATCCCTTCCCTTTTAATCTATATGTGTCTTTATCTTTACTGTAGGTTTCTTGTCAATAAGAATGTCTGCATGCTGGATTGCTCTCACTGTAGTACAAATAGAAAAATGAAAAGAATGGAAAAATGTATGGACATACATAGAAGTTACATAAACAATTAGGCTGTATATCTGTGTTTCCTAATTCATTCCATCTTATTTTTGAACCTTTAATTAGTAATACTCTCTCAAAAAACATCTAGGACTTTATGCTGCTTGGAGCCACAGCCATTGAAGATCGTCTTCAAGCCGGCGTTCCAGAAACCATATCAACTTTACTGAGAGCAAACATAAAAATTTGGGTGTTGACAGGAGATAAACAAGAAACTGCAATTAACATAGGTAACAGGTGTAAAAAAAGGTGTTTGGTTTTTTTTTCTTGTTTACTGGCACTTGAACTCAGGGCCTCGGTGCTGTCCCTTAGTTTTGCTATTCTACTACTTGAGCCACAGCTCCATGTCTGACTTTTTGGTGGTTAATTAGAAATAAGAGTCTCACAGACTTTCTTCCTGGGTTGCCTTCAAACCTCAATCCTCCCCTTCTTGGTCTCTCCAGGAGAGAGACTGGCATGCATGAGTTCCTGGCACTCAGCTCTTTACCTCTTTGAAAGAGCAGTGAAGAGGGTGGTGGCTGAAAATCTTGAGCTTTGTACTTAGAAGGACCAGAATTTGAACCTGAATCTTTTGTTGTACTTTTATAAACTGGTGCCTTTGAGGATAAGTTTTTCAACACTACTTTCTCATTACATGGAGATAATCACAGTACATCCATGGGTTACAAGAACTAAATGAAATGGTACTTGTTCTTTCTAAAGTATTGGGCAGAGTGAAGACATTGTGAACACTATTCACTGCCTGCCTAAATATAATGATGGTTTTGAGCATCATTTGAGTTATCACCAGACAATAATTATATACACAGGGTGGGTCATGGTCAAGGAATACATTTTGACTAGGATTTAGCAGGAATTGATAGGCTAGGATTTGTTTGTGACAGTGGTCACAGATGAAAACAGACTACGTTCAAATGTGCTGCATGTTTTCAGACCAGCATGGAATTCTGTTACCTTCTGAGAGCTTCTGATAACATGCCTCAACAATGAGCTTCTGAGCTGGGCACCCGTGGCTCACGCCTGTAATCCTAGCTACTCAGGAGGCTGAGATCTGAAGATCACGGTTCAAAGCCAGCCCGGGAAGGAAAGTACACGAGACTCTTATCTCCAATAAATCACTAGAAAACTGGAAGTAACGCTGTGGCTCAAGCAGTAAAGTGCTTGCCTTGAGCTGAAGAGTGCAGGGACAGCACCCAAGCCCAGAGTTCAAGCCCCACAACTGACAAACAGCAACAACAACAACAATGAGCTTCTGCTCTGTGCCCTAAGTAGTCACATGCCGTGACAATTAGTGTATCAATACAGGCAGAGAATCCCTAATCCAAAAAGCTGAAACTGAAGACAGTGGAAACCCTGAGACTACCAACATGATAGCACAGGGGGGAAATTCTGCACCTGACCTCAAATGCACTAAAAAATACTACATAAACCTGGTGCCAGTGCCTAAAACCTAAAATCTGAGCCAGTCAGAAGGCTCAAATCTGAGAATTTAGGTTCAAAGCCAGCCAAAATGGGAAGATATATGAAAATCCTATCTTCAATTAACCAGCAAAATGCTGCAAGTAGAGAGAGTGGCTCAAGAGGTAGAGCTCCAGCTTTAAGCGAAAAAGCTGAGGGACAGCACCCAGGCCCTGAGACTGAGCCCCAGTACCAGCACACTCACAAAATATACTATATAAAAATTACCTTTAGCTGGGCACAGGTGGCTCATGCCTATAATTCTAGCTACTCAGGAGGCTGAGATCAGATGATCATGGTTCAAAGCCAGCGGGGCAGAAAAGCCTGTGATACTTTTTTTTTTTTGGGGTCGGTCGTGGGGCTTGAACTCTGGGCCTGGGCGCAGTCCCTTAGCTCTTCAGCTCAAGGCTAGTGCTCTACCACTTGAGCCATAGAGCCACTTCCAGTATTCTGAGTGGTTTATTGGAGATAAGAGTCTCACACAAAGGAGGTGGCAACAATGCTGGATACAAAATGTACTCATTGCCTTGCTCATGTAACTGTAACTCCTTTGTACAGTATTTTCGCAATAAAAAACTTAATTTAAAAAAAAAAGAGTCTCACGGACTTTTCCTGCTTTGTTGGCTTTGAACTGCAATACTCAGATCTCAGTCTCCTGAGTAGCTAGGATTATAGGATGAACCACTGGTGCTTGGCCCCTAAGACTCTCATCTCCATTTAACCACCAGAAAACCAGAAGTGGTGCTATGGCTCAAGTGGTAGAGTGCTTGCCTTGAGCTGAAGAGCTGAGGGACAGCACCTAGGCCCAGAGTTCATGCCCCTTGACCAAAAAAAAAAATACCTTTAGGTTATATGTGTAACAAATACATGAAACATAAACATAAAATAAAACACATTGAAAGTCATTACAATTCTTTGAAGTTTACAGTCTCTGACATTGACAAACCACTGCAATATTGCAACCAAAAAAGCAAAAAATGTGCAGACTTTGAAGTACAAATTGAATGTAATGATCATTTCATTTGAAAGAAAGAAGCCTGCATTAGGAAGTTTTAGATGATCCAATAATGAATGGAAAGGACAAAAATTTCAGCCTATGTTTTCCTCGTACTTGAACAGATGGTAGTAAAGTAGGCAAGCAGACATTCTCAATCTGTAGCAATCAGAGGTCACTTTTGGTTCTTTGTGTCTGTACATGTTTGGAAAAGCTAAAAAAAAAAATCATACCATATACATTTCCGCTAAGAATGGATTTCCCATTGACTAAGAGATTTATAAACTTATAAGAATATAGTATATTAATATCCAAAAGGAATTAAATTCCAACCTATACAAAACAGATTTATGTGGAGTCAAGTACTTAGAAAAATTATCCCAAGAATACTCCATTATTGATGTGCAAAAGTTTATTTTCCAAACTAATTTATCAGCTAGGTACTGGTGGCTCATGACTATAATCCTAGACATAAAAAAATTATAATAAGCCAGTTACCAGTGGCTCATACCTATAATCCTATATACTTAGGAGGCTGATATCTGAGGATTGCTGTTGGAAGCCAGCATGGGCAGGAAAATCCATCTGACTTTTATCTCCAATTATCCACTAGAAAACCAGAAATGGAGCTGTGGCTCAAAGGTAGAGTACTAGCTTTGAGCAAAAAGGTACAGGGACAGTACCTCGGACCTGAGTTCAACTTCTATGACTGACCAAAAAATAAAATTAAATAATTTTTTAGGGTATAATAAAAATAGCCAGGCACTGGTGGCTAATTCCTGTAATCCCAAATCCTCAGGAGGCTAAAATCTGAGGGTTGGGGTGTGAAGCCAGTCTGGGCAGGAAAGTCCATGAGATTCTTATCTCCATTTAGTCACCAGAATCCTGGAAGTAAATCTGTAGTTCAAGTAGTAGAGTACTAGACTTGATTAAAAAAATTTAGTAATATCACATAGGGCCTGAGTTCAAGACCTAGGACTGGCGTGTGCCAGTCACACACACACACACACACACACACACTCGTCATAATAAAATAGTCTAAAGAGTAAGCTACTGGACAACTTTGGAGTTTAACACACAGTTGTGTACACATACCATCTCCTTAGGGTGGTCATTAATTCTCAAAGATAAAAATAGAACTTGTAAGAAGGGAGAGACATGCTGTTCTGCCTTGCTCAATATTTGGCAGACTTTGCTCTTAGTATTAAATCATTGCCTGTTATTATTTTGTACAGCAAGGTTCATTCCTTCCCTTACTCAATCTCTCAAATCCTGTCCCTTTAGGAACATTTGGGGGGGTGGGGGATAAGGGAGGAGGAAGCAACTGGCTAGTAGGCGTCTTCTCAAAGACCTGTTCCATTTGTTTTTAAATCATTTCTTGTATGAAGGTAAATAATAGTGAGGGCAGTGTATCTCAAGGAACAGTTTCATTCTAGTTAGAGATGTGAGCTTGTATTTGTACCTAATAAAGACTCTTCCCTTAACTAATCTTTACTTTCTTCTAATGCTCTTAAGAGTTTGTCTACTCATCATAACAAAGTTGAGATAGCAGTTTGATAGAGTAGAATTTGACTTCAGAGTTAGAATAATTATAAAGTCTGGATTTAAGTACATGTCTAGAAATAATAAAAATCCAAGTCTACAGAAATGTTAAAATGCATCTTTATTCATTAGGTGTAGTCAACTTCTAACACATTTATTTATTTTTTTGTTTTGTTTTGGTGGGTCGTGGGGCTTGAACTCTGGGCCTGGGTGCTGTCCCTAAACTCAAGGCAAGCACTCTACCACTTGAGCCACAGCACCACTTCTGGTTTTCTGGTGGTTAATTGGAGATAAGAGTCTCAGGGACTTTTCTGCCTGTGCTGGCTTTGATTCATGATCCTCAGATCTCAGCTCCTGAGTAACTAGGATTACAGGTGTGAGCCACCAGCACCCAGTTCTAATACATTTTTATTTAAGTTGTATACTAAGATTAAAATGAACATTTTCATTCCTTTTCCTTACACCTTGCTTGGTTTTTTTGTTATGGGATACTAGGCTTTGAAATAGCCACAGTGCAGAGAGAGAAAAGGAAAGAGGGGAAAGAGAGAGAAAGCAGGAGAGAGAGGGAAAGAGGGAGGGAGGGAAGGAATGAAAAAAAAGCAATATAATAACTCAAGAGGCTGAGATCTGAGGATGGCAGTTCCATGTCATCCTGGCCAGGAAAGTCTGAGAGATTGTTATTTTCATCTAACCACCAAAAGTCAGAAGTGGTGCTCTGGCTCAAGTGATAGAGCCTTGAGTTCAAGCCCCAAGACTGAAAAAAAAAAAAAAAAGAAAATATAAAAGAAGAGGTGCTTATGGAAAACATTGAATGTTCAAATAGGACATCTTTATCATTCTCCTTACAGCCTATTCCTGCAAACTCATATCAGGGAATGTGCCTCGTATCCATATGAATGCAAATTCATTTGAGGTAAGTGATTTAAAAAACAAACTCAATTATTAATAAAAATTAATAAATATAAAGTAATAATAATAAAATTAAATATTAATATTGTTACTGGCAGGGGTATCTCAACTCCTTAAAAATTTATGTAAGATTACTTTGAACTCAGACTCTAATCCATTGGAAAGTCTTGCTTTTCCCCAATTTTTTTTTGCCTCCACATCTCTAAATTCTGTCAGGTTGCTGCTGCTTTCTGCCTCTGGTGAGTTCTCGTGCTCCAACCTGTTTGAGACTTTTCCTTTGTCACCACCCGGACGCTATACCAAATCTAGGACTCAGATCCTTATTTTTTTTTTAAGGGTATCTGTAACTGAAGCTACTCAGAAGGTGAAGATAAGGAGGATGGCAGATCTAGATCAGCTAAATATGAGTGAGATCATTTCAACTTACAAGTCAGACACAGTGTTATGCACCTATAATCCTAGCTACTGGGAGGCATAAGTAGGAGGATTGCAGTCTCAGACTGGCTGGAGAAAAAAACACAAGAACCCTGTCTGTGTCATATTTCAATCTAATTCTTCTTCTTTTGTATTTTTTATTTTTTTGATCTGAGACTGGGACTCAAGCTCAGTAACCTGATGCTTTTGCTCTTTGGCTAGCACTCTACCAACTGAGCCAGACCTCCGTCTCAACCTAATTCTTATGCTTGCTTAGTCTTTCAGATGTTGATTTTTCTTGTGTTTTAAAATTACTTGTGAGAAAGCAAAACACAGCTCTTGCTCTACGGAGCTCAGTATGAGTGACCATAGCTCTAGAACATGGATTCAGATTATTCTGGATGAGATTACATGTAGTCACAAAGCAGAAGAAAGTCTCTGGTCAATGCATTTGGCTAATACATTAGTAGGGGCATCATGTAATTGAGTTACAGACGAGTAAGGAAATCTCTTACACAGATTTAAGATGTTAACATTCTAGCATTATAGGGTCAGTTTGTTAAAGTTTAAAAGTACATTCTAAGAGTTGGGGCTTGAACTCTGAGCTTGGGCGCTATCCCTCAGCTCTTCAGCTTAAGGCAAAGTTTTACTTAATAGTCACAAAGATGTTCAATGCGACAAAGAGGCTGGTAATAAATAGTCCAACAGAACCTGTGCAACATTCATCTCTGCATAATCCTGAGGTTCTAGTCAGTCTATCTGCAGTATATTCAACACTAATGTGGCATTTTCAGAGAAATGCCCCTTGCTGACTACCCCTCCCATTTTGTATATGAGGAAGCCAAATGTATTATATTCCCCTGTACTACGAAGGCTCATTCCTAGGATCTGGTTAATATGAGGCTGAGTGGCTGAGAAAGTCTTGGAGAGTGGGAAATAGTTTTAAAAGCCATTAAGGAAGAAGTCCCTGGGTGACTCCTGTGTTATCAGCCATTATAATTCAAGTTCTGAATTTTCCTCTCTTCTACCCTTTCTCTCGTACAATGGCATGTGATGTGTGATGGCTATACCTAAAGGATAAAATATTCAAGATCACAGAATAGAGTGAGGTAAAATGCTAAGGGAAGCGGTGCCCATATCTTAAGTTGAGTGATGTCTGTCTTTGCTATATAAGTCAGTGTGACCGACATCTTTTTAGATATCTACTCTATCTTCTGTTTCCATCTACTAATTATTTTTCAAAAATCCCCTGACCTTTCTGGTTTGCTATAACATACTTCTGTATTTCCCTAATGATGTGAATTTGTTCTCAGGAACACAGCACTATTGATTGAGAGAGCATGTAATTCATCTGTTTAAAATGGATTTTAATATATGCACAGATACGTGTGAAAAACCCTGCAATAAATTTTTGATTGTTTTGTCAACTCTGAAAAAGATTCTTGAGCTTCCCCCCATTTTTTTGGTCCTAGGCAAGCACTAATCTTCTGTCTGTGTGGATTATTTCTGTCTCTGTTTGATACTGAATTTTCATATGATCATCCGTACATCAGTTTCTTTCATCTCTCATTAATTTCTTCTATATTCTAAATCACTTTGTGTGTGTGTGTGTGTGTGTGTATGCTGCTCTCAAACTTAGGGCCTTGACCTCTAGCTTAGCTATTTTGCTCAAGTCTGGCACACTCTAATTTTCACTCAAGGCTGGTGCTCTACCACTTGAGTCATCCTTCCACTTCTGGCTTTTTGCTGGTTAATTGTAAGTAAAAGTTGTGTGGACTTTTCTGCACAGTTTTTTTTCAAGCAACAATCCTTAGATATCAGCTTCAGAAATAGCTAAGATTACAGACATGAGACACTAGCACAGGGCTTTTTAAATCACTTCTTTTCCAATAAAATGGCTGAAATTAGAATGCTGGTAGGCATCTTCTAACTAGACAGTCTAGTGGTTGAATTTGTCACTTCTTGTGATATCATATGCAATTCTCTAATCTGACTTTGTGATAGAGCTAGATTCTGTATCTGAATTTTGATCCACTTCCCATCGATTGTTTTTGTTGGAGCATGAAGTCTATACCGGTAGTGAGGTTATGAACTAGCTGGAACTTCTTGTTTGTAAACTGTGGCAATTAGCATGATTTTACCAAAACACATGCCATTGGCATACTTGAAAGAACAGGATAGGTTATGGCTAGGCTGCTTAGTGTCAGGATATACCACTCCTTCTCCTGCTACTGCTACTCCTCTGCGCCCCTCACCTAGGCATTGCCTGCCTGGAAATGAAATGCCAGGCCTGATCCATTACCATCTATATCTATAACCAGCACCAATTGGCAATGACAGAGCCATTCAAATCAATACTGTGGAGCGGAGGGAGACACTTCAAGCAATCTTTTATTTACTTTTTGGCACCAGTTTAGTGATTTTTGTTTTGGTACCAAGAATTGAGTGAAGGCCTTTGCATTTGCCTAAGCATACATTGTACAACTGAGCTATATCTTCTGCCCCATTGGTGATTTTTTTTTTTTTAATGCTAGCATTAGTTTTTGAATTCAGGTCCTTGAGCTCTCATTTGGCTCTTTCTCTCAAGGCTGGCACTCTACCACTTCAGCCACATCTCCACTTCTGGATTTTGATGGTTAATTGAAGTGAAGAGTGTCATGAACTTTCCTGCCTGGGCTGGCTCAGGCCTCAGATCTCACCTCCTCTGCGTATCTAGGATGATAAGTATGAGCCAGCAGTGCCTAGCTCCCTATCAGTAAGGTTTATAAAAGAAGAATGAAGCCAAAGCATACCTCAGCCCACTAGCTTTATTCAGGTGTCTATTCATTTATATTTAAAATGAGCAACATAAAGTTACTTCTTTTCCTCCTCTGTTTTAGGCAACAAAACAAATGATTGATGAGAATTGTCAAGAGTTTGGCTGTATGTTAGGCAAAGAGAATGGCGTGGCCCTAATCATTGATGGCGAAACATTGAAACATGCCCTCAATTTTGACATTCAGAGGAAGTTCCTAACTTTGGCTCTATCCTGTAGAACAGTATTATGCTGTAGGTAAGAAGACATTCGCTGCCCCTGCTACTGTATACACATTACTCTTTACAGAAAAAAAAATATATAAACAGAAATAGAAGTTTTGTTGAGGAAAAGTTGCTACTTGGAAAATTTCTATGCTCAAACTGAAATGCAAAAGTCTGTATTTTATTCTATTTGTCAGGATTAAGATCTACTAAAGATTGGGCTGGGAAGGTGGCTTAGTGGTAGAGTGCTTACCTAGCATGCATGAAGCCTTGGGTTCTCCTCGGTACCATATCAACAGAAAAAGCTGGAAGTGGTGCTGTGGCTCAAGCAGTAGAGTGCTAGCCTTGAGCAAAAGAAGCTCAGGGACAGTGCCTAGGCCCTGAATTCAAGCTCCAGGACTAGAAAAAAAAAAAGGTTTACTAAAGATTAAATTTAGATTACTAAAGATTAAAGATTTACTAAAGCAAGTTATAAATTTTCAGTGATAAAAGTGCTTGTTGATGTCTGGCAAGACAAAAGAAATGTCTAGTCAAAACAAAAGTCTTAGCCAGGGTGGGTCGCTCATGCCTGTAATCCTACCTACTCAAGAGGCTGAGCTCTGAGGATCTCAGTTCAAAGCCAGCCCAGGCAGGAAACTCTTGTGAGACTCTTATCTCCAATAAACCACTGGAAAGCTGGTAGTGGTGCTGTGGCTCAAGCAGTAGAGTGCAGGGACAGCGCCCAAGCCCAGAGTTTAAGCCCCACAACCGACCAAAAAAAAAAAAACAAACTTAAGTTTATGTCCAGTGAGGGGCAAATCTGGGAAAGTTCACTGAAGTCTAGGGGAAAACTGATGTATTAAAACAAAATTAGTTTTCAAAAGAGCCAAAGCAGCCACCAGGTGCTGGTGGGTCACACCCATAATCCTTGTTTAGATCTCAGGAACTTGGTTCAGAGCCAGCCAGGGCAGGAAAGTCAATGAGATTTTTATCTCCAATTAACTACTTGAAAACCAGAAGTGGAGTTGTGGCTTAAAGTGGTAGAGAGCTGGCTTTGAGCAAATCATGGACAGTGTCAAGGCAGGCCCTGTGTTCAAGCCCCATGACTGGTCTTTTGTAGTTTTTTTTTTCCAGGGCTGAGGACCAAACCCACGGCCTTGCATGCACTGGGCTAAACACCCAGCCCCTCAAGCCCCATGACTGGCAAAAAAACAAAACAAAACAAAGCCAAAGCATCTGTAACTAAATTGACTAAACTGACAAGATAAAGGAACCATTTACAAGAGTTGTTCCTTGTTTCTCAATGAAAATAATGGTGAACCAATTATTAAAATATTGGCGAAAAGGCCAGGAAGGTGGCTCAGTGATAAAGTGCTTGCCTCAGATGCATGCAGCCCTGGGTTTGATGCCTCAGCACCAAATAAACAGAAAAAGCCAGAAGTGGTGCTGTAGCTCAAGGGGTAGAGCACTGGCCTTGAGCTGAAGAGCTGAGGGACAGTGTCCAGGCCCCATGACTGACAAAAAAAAAAAAAAAAAAAGAAGTTAAAATATTGGTGATAGGCCGGGTGCCAGTGGCTCACGGCTGTAATCCTAGCTACTCAGGAGAATCGCAGTTCAAAGCCAGCATGGGCAGGAAAGTCTGTGAGACCATTATCTCCAATACACCACTCAGAAAACCGGAAGTGGCACTGTGGCTGCAGAGGTAGAGCGCTAGCCTTGAGCTGAAGAGCTGAGGGACTGCACCCAGGCCCAGAGTTCAGGCCCCACGACTGACAAAAAAAAATAAAAATAAAATATTAGTGAACTGAACTTCCAGATATGATTATTTTATTTAGCTCAAAGATCACCCAAAGTTCCAGATCCCTGGTCTGGCCTGCTCAGACTATGATCTTCCTACTTTTCTGCCTTCTGCATAGCTGGGATTATAGTCATGTACCACCACACCAAGTCCAAAAGTTATAGTTCACTTTAATTAAGGAACTCTCTGGGGTTATTTAATACTTTCAGTTAGTGCCTATTAATTGTACAGTGGCTTAATTGTGATGTTTGTAAACACATTAAATGTATTTGATAAAATTCATTACTTCTATATTATTCTTTCTTTCTTAAAAATACTTTTTCTTTTCTTAAAATATAATTATATCATAAAGGTGATGTACAGAAGGGTTACAATTACATAAGTAAGGTAATGAGTACATTTATTTTCAAATAGTGTTACTTTCTCCCTTATTTTCTCCAGTTTTCCCTCGCCCTACTCCCCTCCCCCTGCAAATTGTAAAGTTCATTTCAAATATTATTATTCAAATATATTATTCTTTCCAATCCCTACCTTTTTATACACTTTTCAATTTGTTATTATTCTATTAAAATAGTCATATAAAGCACTTCAATCACACCCACCTATCTTTTTTTAAAAAAAACTCCCACTTCATGCTCCAAAAGAGTCTTCTCTTTGCAACTTACACTCCAGAAGAGGCTCTGATGATCTCCAGAATATCATTGGTATTTATTGTGATATCCCCATACTTATGTCTCATGTTATAACTTATGGATTTGGTCTTTTAATGGAGTCTTGGAGGTTTTATGTGTTTTGATGATTTTTTTCTTATATTTTTTATCTTTATTTCAGTGTTCTAATTCATCTACTTGGTCTTCAAACTCTGATATTTTATCTTCAATCTGATTCAGTGTGTGTGTGTTTGTGTGTGTGTGTGTGTGTGTGTGTGTGTGTGTGTGTGTGTGTGTGTGTGTGAAGCTTTCAACAAGTTTTTACTTGAATTATTGTGCTTTTTTCATTTCCAGGATCTAAATTTTTTTTAGAATTTCTATAGTTTTATAGAATTCTTCCATATCATGCTTTGTCTTAGTTCACTTAGCTACTTCTTTGTATTCTCTTTTAATTCTTTCAGTTGCTTACTTAAATTCTCTTTGAATTCATTGAGGTATATATGGCTTTCCTCTAATTTCATTAATCGTTCTTTTAAATTCCTTATCTGAGATTTTATCCACTTAATTATCTTTAGTGACTATTACTGTAGAGTTAGTTGTTGACTTTGGAGGATTTTTGCTTTCTCATTACTTATTTTCCATTGTAATTTGCACATCTGCTAAGTTGTATTATGTATTTCACTGCTACTTAGAGGAAAGGAAGCCAACATCAATAACAAAAACCATTATTGTAACACAATTATAATCACCAACCACTCCCAAAATAAAGTTATAAAAGCACGGAACTAGAATGTTTATAGGATAATGTAGGAGTTAATTTCAATGTAGGGAAGGCTTACTTTTTTTTTTGTCAGCCGTGGGTCTTGAATTCTGGGCCTAGCCTCTGTCCCTCAGCTCTCCAGCATAAGGCTAGTACTCTACCACTTGAGCCACAGGGCCACTTGAGGTTTTCTGGTGGTTAATTGGAGATAAGAGTCTCACAGACTTTCTTGCCCAGTCTGGTTTTGAACTGTGATCCTCAGATCTCAGCCTCCTGAGTAGCTAGGATTACAGGTGTAAGCCACTGGTGCCCAGCTAAAGCTTGCATTTTTAATCCCAGAAACCTTGGAAGTGAGAATTGGAAGATCATGGTTCAAACCTAGTCCAAACAGAAAATTTCACAAGACCTCTTCTTAACCCATGGCTGTGCAAAGTGGTTTATAGTTGTAATACCACATGGAAAGCCAAGATTGGGAGGATTCTGGACCATCCTAGAAAGAAAAATTCATGATGCCTCATCTCACCAAAAGGAAGCTGGTCATGGTGGCACATGCTTATTATTTTAGCAACTGTGGGAAGCCTAAAATAGTAAGCCAGAGTGCAGGTGATCACGGGTATATAAAGTGAGATTCTGTCTTCAAAAGTAAAAAGGAAAGCCAGGTGCTGGGCTCATACCTCTAATCCTAGCTCTCAGGTGGCTGAGATCTGAGGATTGAAGTTCAAAGCTAGTCTAGGCAGGTAAGTCTGTAGGACTCTTTTTATTTTTATTTTCTCAGTCCTGGTCCTTGAACCCTGGACCTGGACGCTGGCTCTAAATTCCTTTTACTCAAGGCTAGCACTTGAGCTACAGCACCACTTCTGGCTTTTTCTGTGATTAACTGAAGAGCCTCATGGACTTTCTTTCTAGGACTGGCTTGAATCACAATCCTCAGATATCAGTCTCCTAAGTAGCTAGGATTACAAGCATGAACCACCCTCACCAGCTCATAAGATTCTTATTTCCAATTAATCACCAAAAGATTCAAGCCTTAAGACTGGCATCAATAAAAAAAAAGGGACAGGGGTGGGGGCTGGGAGATGTGCTTGCCTAGCATGCATGAGGTCCTGGGTTTGATTCCTTAGTATCACATGAACACAAAAATAATAAAAAATAAAATAAAAATAAAATGCTCCTTGGACTAATATAACTGAGATGACTCTCAAAGATTCTTGTTTTGACTTGAAGAGTTTCCACCCAATACCTCATTCACATCATTTTCAAGCTGCTTCTGAAGCCAGAGTTTTAGACTACACACTAAAAAGTACAGGAGTCCACAGGTCAGGTCCAGCCATTTGTCCTCATACACCAAAAAAAGAGGCAAGATGACATGCAGAGAAAGAAGGTTTATTACATGGCTTATGCAGCCGCAGTCATGCCTGGGAAGATGGCATTTCAGTACATCTTCAGCCATCCGAAGGACACGTACATGAGTTATAGATTTAAGTAGACAAGGAATTAAGAGTAGGAGGGAAAGTACGAATAGTTAAAATGTCTCAGTCACAGGTATGTTCTATGTGGCCTGACAGTTCATTGTCTCAAAATTGACCAAGTGATGTCTTGTTATAAGAGTCATTTCTTCCTGGCATCATGACCATTCTTTTCCATTCCTTCCTGGCTTCCAAGATGGCGGCAGAGTAACTCTAGGAGAGGATGAGTCAGGAGAGGACAGCTAAAATTGTAGGGGATTGTAACTCCTAACCTTTATCTTGCTTTTAGTTTATGAGCCTCACTACGGAGTCAGTATTTTTCAGAGAAAACATCTTTTTAAATGCTTTACAGTTCCAGGTCCCCTGGAGGATCATGGTGGCTTTGCCATAGCAGTTTCTCCCTACCTAGTAGCTTTGATTTTCAGCTTCAAAACCTTGCTGAGAAGCTGTTTTCTGTTTGTTTTGCTTCCAAGTTGCGGAAATGCTGGAGAGTATCAATGGCTTCTCTCCAGCATCTTGGCTACTTCTCTAATTTAATTTAATTTTAATTTCATTCTTAGGAGCTGTTTTGACAGAAGTATTAAGTTGCCTGCTAGAAAATAGAATCTTTTGTATATCCCGATAAGGGAGTTTTGAAGGAGTTTTGATACCAAAATTATTGAGTAGGTGAAATGATAAATAAGAGAAAAAAGTTTTGCTTTTCATCCTTCCTTCCTTCCTTCCTTCCTTCCTTCCTTCCTTCCTTCCTTCCTTCCTTCCTTCCTTCCTTCCTTCCTTCCTTCCTTCCTTCCTTCCTTCCTTCCTTCCTTCCTTCCTACCTTCTTTCACTGGAACTAGGATTTCAACTCATGTCCTTATACTTTCAATTGGCTTTTTCAAACTCACAGCTGGTGCTATGCCACTTGAGCCACACCTCCACTTCTAGCTGATTTTTGGTGAATTGGACATCTGCCTGGGCTTCCTTCCATCTGTAGTTGTGAGATCTCAGCCATCTGAGTAGGAAGAATTATAAGCATGAACCATAGCACCTTGATATTTCGTAAATATTTCAAGGGCAGACAAGGTTTAATATTGTTTAATATTATGAAATTTGTTTTTGTAGCGTATCTGAAGGGATAAAGGAGCAATAATAGATGTTAATCTTCATTGGACACATAGCATGAGACAGAAATAAACATTTGTTATGTTATGTTGCTTAGCTTTTTTTGTTAGCCACCATAGCATTACTTGGACTCTCTTTGCTGATACTTCATGTTTTTTAATTTCCCAGAATGATTAAAATTCAGAGGAATATAGTTTAATTTTCAAAGGATACATCACATATCACATTTTGGGTGAAAAAATATATATATGTGCTGGTCATGGGGTTTGAACTCATGGCCTGGGCATTGTCACTCAGCTTTTTTTGCTCAAGGTTAACACACTACCAGTTGAGACACAGCTCCTATACTTACGACTTTTCTGGTGGTTAATTGCAGATAAGAGTCTCACAGTCTGCCTGGGCTGGTTTTGAACCATGATCCTCAGATCTCAGCCTCCGGACTAACTAGAATTATAGATGTGAGCCACCAGTGCTCAGTTTGGGAGAATATTTTCAGATAGCATCAGAATCAAGAAACCTTTTTTTCTCTTCCCCTGTAAAAAGGTAATGTAAATTAATATAGTAGATTAGCTTTAGACAGTAAGGGATTTGTAGGAAAAACAATAAATTAAAGAACTGATATACGTTTATGCTTAGCAACTGATACATACTTCTGTTGATATATTGAACCGGTTAATGTGTAATGTGTCTTTGTTTCATTTCTGAGAGATGATTGGGAACAATTTTGCACTTACAAAAGGTTTAACTAAAGAATTGGGAACTCAGAATAGTGGTATACTCCTGTAATCTCAGCACTGAGGAAACTAAGGAAGAAAGATGGTAAATTAAAAGTCAGGTGGACTATATAGTGAATTTAAGACCAGCTTGGACTCCATGGCAAGTTTGAAGCTAGCCTGGCCTACAGTATGAGATCTTGCCTCCAAAAAATAAAGTAAGAAGAAAAATTAATTAAGAAATTAACCAATAACAGCCATTTTAATACAGCTATGTACAGATTACTGTTATTTTTTGTAAAGATTGTGAAGTACATCGAATCCAAATATGACAATCAAAGTGGTTGTTCCTGTCTTCTTTTTCAGGATGACCCCCCTTCAGAAGGCTGAAATCGTGGGCATGGTTAAGAAGCACGTACAGGCTATCACGCTGGCTGTGGGGGATGGCGCCAATGACGTCAGTATGATCCAGACGGCTCATGTGGGTGTGGGAATCAGTGGAAATGAGGGCATGCAGGCCACCAACAACTCAGATTACTCCATCGCACAGGTCAGTTTCAGAAGATACCTGCTAGGCCTGGAAGGTATTAAAGATCTTTGGTCTGCCTCTCAGGCCCACCCCACTTCTCTAAGCTGGTGGCTAAGTGAACCACCCTGTACAATTAGGATTCTTTAGGTATTTTTTTTTTATATACACTTTGGAGCAGTAGAGAATTACTTTGATCAGCCAGGGAGGTGGCCAAACTGCAAAATCTTCTTTCTCCCTAATCTGTACTATGTTTCACAATGTGGTCTCTCTTGATAAGGATTTATTTTTTTTATAATGAAAATACCATACAGTGGAGTTACAATTACATGGGCAAGGTAATGAGTACATTTCTTCTTTTTTGGGGGGTGGGGGTCCAGTCATGGGGCCTCAACTCTGGGCCTGGGCTCTGGCCCTCAGCTCTTCAGCTCAAGGCTAGCGCTCTACCACTTGAGCCACAGCGCCATTTCCAGCTTTTTTCCTTTTTGCTAATGTGGTGCTGGGGAATCGAACCCAGGGCCTCAGGCATGCAAAGCAAGCGCTCTACCACTGAGCCATCTTCCCAGCCCATGAGTAGATTTCTTACCAAGCGTTGTTGCCTCCTCCCTTGTTTCCCTTCCCATCACCCTCACCGCCCCCGGACCCCCCCCCCCCTCAAACTTGTAAAGTTCATTTTTCGACATAAGGACTTGTACATCTCATTGTTGTAATGGGTCCACCTGTATGCCTATTTAAACAATTTTGTTTTTTCCGTTCCCCTCCACGAATTATACCAACATCAAATACAGGGAAAACGGGTTGTACTATGGGGGAGGGACATACAAAGCAATAAAAAAAATCATCTTATAAATATGTTAGAAACAATCGCATGAAAGAAAAAACATTTGAATACTAATCTTAGGATTCATTTTGCCTAACAACAACTTATCTGACTGTTTCTGCTTGTTTCAGACATATACTAGTTATTGCAAATAAGGGAAACATGGGACCTATGTTTCTTTGGGCCTGGCTTACTTCATTTAATCTAATTTTTTTCCAAGTCTTTCCATTTCCTAACAAATGGGACAATGTCATTCATTCTGATGGAGGTATAGAATTCCATTGTGTATATATACCACATTTTCTTGATCCATTCATCTACTGAAGGGCATCTGGGTTGGATCCATATCTTAGCTATGGTAAATAATGCTGCAATAAACATAGTCATGCTGGTAGCTTTAGTGTGGTCTTGTTTGTGAACATTTGGGTAAATGCCCAAAAGTGGGATTGCTGGGTCAAAGGGGAGTTCTATGTGGAGTCTTTTGAGGAACCTCCATACTGCTTTCCAAAGTGGTTGAACAAGTTTACACTCCCACCAACAATGCAGTAAGGTTCCCTTCTGTCCACATCCCCTCCAGCATCTGTTGTTATTAGAGTTCTTGATTCTAGCCATTCTAACTGGAGTGAGGTGGTATCTCAATGTTGTTTTGATTTGCATTTCTTTTATGGCTAGGGAGGTTGAGCATTTCTTCATGTGTCTATTGGCCATCCTTCTTTCCTCTTCAGAGAAGTTTCTCTGTAAGTCTTTAGCTCACTTATTATTTGGGCGGTTGTTTCTTTGAAGATTTGTTGTTGGGGGATTTAATTTTTTGAGTTCTAGGTATATTTTAGATATGAGACCCTTGTCTGTGGTATGGCTAGTAAAGATCTTCTCCTAATCCATGGGCTTTCTATTGATCTTTTTAGCTATGTCCTTGGCCATGCAGAAGCTCTGCAATTTCATGCAATCCCATTTGTCCAACCTTTCTTTGATTTGTTGTGTTTCTGGGTCTCTTAAGAGAATTTCAGCCTGTGCCAAGACCACCTAGGGTTTCTCCTTTTCCATCCTGTAATGTTTTCAGAGGGTCTGCTTTGACTTCGAGGTCTTTGATCCATTTGGAGTTGATTCTGGTGCAGAGTGATATATAAGGATCTAGCTTTAGTTTTCTACAAGTAGTTAACCAATTTTGCCAGCACCATTTACTGAAGAGGCTGTCTTTCTTCCATTCTATTTTTTTAGCTCCCTTATTGAAAATTAGATGGCTATAGGTCTGTGGATTCATTTCTGGGTTTTCAATACTATTCCATTGGTCCTGAGGTCTGTTCTTGTGCCAGTACCAAGATGTTTTGATTGCTATGACTTTGTAGTAGTTTGAAATTAGGTATTGATATTCCTCCAGCACTGTTCTTTCTGTTAAGGATTTTTTTTTGCTATTCAGGGTCTTTTATTGTTCCATATGAATTTTTGGATTGCCTCTTATATTTCCTTGAAGAATGAGGTTGGAATATTGATAGGTATCACATTGAATTTGTAGATAGCCTTGGGAAGTAATGCCATTTTCACGATGTTGATCCTTCCAATCCAGGAGCATGGGAGGTTTTTCCACTTTGTAAGTTCTGTTTTGATTTCCTTTTTCAGGTTTTTAAAGTTTTCATCATAGAGGTCCTTCACTTCTTTGGTTAATTCCTAGGTATTTTATTTTTTGTAGGGCTATTACGAATGGAGTTGCTTTCCTGATTTCAGCCACGCTTTTCTCATTGTTGGCATACAGAAAAGCCATTGATTTTTGGGGGTTAATTTTATAACCTGCTACTTTGCCAAAGTTTTGAATCAGCTTGAATAATTTGGGAGTGGAGTCCATGGGATTCTTTAAATACAAAATCATGTCATCTGCAAAGAGGGAGAGTTTTACTTCATCTTTCCCTATTTGGATCCCTTTTATGTTTGCAGCTTGTCTTATTGCTGTAGCTAGGCTTTCTAATACTAGATTGAAGAGAAGTGGAGAGAGTGGACATCCTTGTCTCTTTCCTGAGTTAAGGGGAAATGGCTTTAGTTTTTTATCATTAAGTATAATGCTGGCTGTAGGTTTGTTGTATACAGCCTTTATTGTATTGAGGAATGTTCCCTGGATTCCTAATTTTTCCAGGACCTTCATCAAAAAGGGGTGTTAGATCTTGTCAAATGTTGGATCTTGTCAAATGCTTTTTCCTCATCGATTGAGATAACCATGTGGTTCTTATCCTTGTTCTTGTTGATGTGATGAATTATATTAATTGATTTGCATATATTGAACCAGCTTTGCATCCCTGAAATGAATCCTGTTTGATTGTAGTGTATGATTTTTTTGATGAGTCATTGAAGTCAATTGGCCAAAATTTTGTTGAGAAGTTTTGCATCAATGTTCATCAATGAAATGGGTCTATAGTTCTATGTCTTTGGTGAGTCCCTGCCTGGTTTTGGGATGAGGGTTATTATAGCTTCATAGAATGAATTTGGTAGTGAATTTCTCTTTCAATTTCATTGAAGAGTTGAAGGAGTATTGGTGTGAGTTCTGCTTTGAAGGCCTTGTAGAATTCCGCTGTAAAACCATCTGGTCCTGGGCTTTTGTTACCTGGGAGGTCTCTTATTGCTGTTTCTATTTCAATGCTTGATATGGGCCTGTTAAGATCATTTAACTCATCTTGGTTTAGTTTCGGCATGTCAATATTTGCTAGGAAAAGGTCCATTTCTGCCAAATTCTCAAACTTATTAACATAAAAGTTTGAGAAGTATTCCCTTATAATGTTCTGAATCTTGGTTGTTTCTGTGGTGATGTTTCCATTCTCATCTCTAAGTTTATTTATTTGATTGTGTTCTCTTCTTTTTCTGATAAAATTTGCTAAGGGTCTGTCAATTTTGTTAATTTTTTCAAAGAACCAACTCTTTGTTTTGTTGATTCTATGGTTTTTTTGGAATCTAATTCATTTAGTTCTGATTTAATTTCAATTATTTCTTTCCGTATATTGGATTGGGGTTTATCTTGCTGCTCTTTTTCAAGGAGGTTCAGATGTCTCATTAAATTGTTTGTTTTAGATCTCTCCAATCTGTTGATGTAGAAGCTTGGAGCTATAAACTTGCCTCTGTATACTGCCTTTGCTGTGTCCCAGAGGAGCTGGTAATTTGTGTGTTCTTTTTTGTTGAATATCATGAACATTTGAATTTCCTTTCTAATCTCTTCCATGACCCACTGGTGATTCAACAGTGTGTTGTTCAGTCTCCATGTGTTACAGGACTTTCTTTGGTGGCTTTTGGTGTTGAGTTCTAATTTTATTCCCTTGTGGTCTGGAATTCAATGTTTCTGAATTTGGACAAGTTTTCTTTGTGGTCTATTTTGGAAAATGTTCCATGTGCTGCTGAGAAAAACATGTATTCTGATGCTGCTGGGTGAAATATTTGCTAGATGTCTGTTAAATCTAGTTGATCTATGCAGTTGTTTAGGTCTGGGGTTTTTCTGTTGAGTTTTTGCCGAGTTGATCTATTTAGTGGGGATAGTGGTGTGTTAAATTCCCCAACAATTAATGTCTTTGCATCTATGTGACCTTTGAGGAAAAGTAGCGTTTCTTGGATAAATTTGGGTGCTCTGTTGTTTGGTGAGTAGATATTTATAATTGTACTATCCTCCTGTAGGAGAGATGCCTTAATTAGTATGTAGTGACCTTCTTTAAACTTCTCACAAATTTTAATTTGAAGTCTATTTTATCTGATATTAGGATTGCAACTCCTGCCAGTTTATAGGGGCCATTTGCTTGGTAGATTTTGTTCCAGCCTTTAACATTGAAAATGTCTTTGTTTTTATGGGTAAGATGTGATTCCTGAAGGCAGCAGATAGAAGGATCTTGCTTTTTAATCCAAGTAGACAGAATATGTCCCTTAATTGGAGAGTTAAGTCCGTTAATGTTGATAGATTGGACTGAGAGGTATTTGGGAGTTCCTGCCAGGTTATCCACCTTCTTGGGGGCTGTGGCAACTGGGTTCTTCCTATGGTTCTTGGATTCTCAGTTTGGGTGTGGTTTCTTGGCCTTTACTGTGGTTTTGTTGGTTTTCTATGTGTAGGACATCTTTAAGAATCTTTTGTAGGGCTGGTTTGGTGGAGATATATTGTTTCAGTTTTTCTTTGCTATGGAAGGTTTTTATTTGACCTTCGGTTATGAAGAAGAGTTTAGCTAGATACAGTATTCTTGGTTGA